CAGCTAGCCCAACTTCAGTAACCCTACAAACGTCACTGCTGTTTAGTTTCCTGTCTTCATTTATGTTGGAAGTGATAGCAGAGCTGTACGTTTGATTTTTTTCAGAAATCTCTCAGTCAGAACATGCAATATCATGCTTAGCTCGCTAGTTTCGCTAGTTACCTAACTTCCGCTAGCTTCCTGCTAACTTCTAACTCCGTTAAATGTAATAACTTTTGTTTTCATGGATGCCTGGAAGTTAAACTTTATAGTTACACCTGGTAAAGCAGCAATGCTGATCGTTTTATTAAAGATGAAAGAATTTAGACAGTTTTTAACTCTAAGTGATGCTGCAGTGTTGTTTGACCTGAAGTATACGGAGTTTAGGACCCAGATTACTCCCAGATTTAAGAGCATCTTAGTCCGACAAATACGACAATAACAACGGCTGCTTGCATGTTCTGCAAAAAAATGTGCTTTGTTGTGTATCTGACGGACAAACACCAAACCAGTTCCACATCACTGAAGTTGCACCATTTTTACAAACCAATTCTGGTTCATCTGTTTCACTCAACAATCGGCCATGTGCGTATGAAAACAAAGGCACTGCGCATGCGCGTTTTACTCCCATTCTATCGCGATATTTCATTTTCCTATCGTTGCCTAACATTATACCGGTATTACCATGAACGGTATAATATGGCCCAGCCCTACATATGATTAAGAAAAAACCTTCCGGGGCAAATTTCATCTCACCTGAGTCATTTGCACCTTTTTTTTTTATTACAAGGAACTTTCTGAAATGAGGATGGATAAAAGAGCGATAGATGAAGCACAGGAGAATAAGGGGGGAAGGGTCTTGAGGGAGTGGCGGATGTGGGGAGGAGGAGGAGGAGAGGGGAGTGTGGGATGGAAGTGTGGAAGAAAGAGGAGGAGGAGGGGGGTTGGGAGGGATCCAAGAGCACCCGACTGGCAAACATCCAGTCGCATCACTCCTTATATGTAATTGCCCATGCGCTTCACCCAATTAGAGGGCTCCTTATGTTTTTTACAAACTGCTGCTCAAGCAGCCAAATCCTCACAAATGGGGTTGCCAAGGAAACAGCTATGGGTGGCAGCTGCTTCCTTGGTGATTTAGTGCAGGACTAATGGTGTCTGGGTTGATGCGAGAAGACCTTGAAATGATGTTCATGGATGCACATTCGCACTTCGGACACACTTGCAGTTCTTCGGAAGTCCTTGTATTTCAAAGAGTCTGCTGTGTCAATTAAGTGTCACATCTCCAGCACTGGAGTGCGTTAATGCTACGTGGAGCTCCGCAGATCTATGGTTACATGTTGTATGTGTGTAGTAACACTTTGCAGAAGTGTCAAAAATACTGTTAAAACGGACGCATTTGATTAAAGTGGGTTACTCGTGCTTTTGTTTGTCTTTTAGTTTAGTGCATGCAGTGGAGAAGACAGGCGCATTAAAATGTCCACTACAGCTATTGATTGTTTCTCATCCCGGCATCTTTTGAGCTCCATGTTGGTGAACTCCATGCCGATTCAATTTCCTTCTCAATCAACATCTGACCTACTATGCGTATTGCACATAGATGATATGCTGCTGGGTCAGGGGAAGACCGCCTGCAAGTGCATCTGCTTTGGTTGGCTTCTGTAACGTTTCTCACTGCACAGCCAGAGATGCTGATCCATCCAAAATCTGTGTTAAAACAAGCTTCAAATTTGTGACGACAACATGCATTTTTATCAGAACAGAAAGCTGCCCCTAAATGTGCTCTACTCAGAGTTTTTTTATGTATCAAATGCTTTTATGTTTCTTTGGATACTAATTTTAGCTAAAGGAGTTCAGTAATGACTAATGTCAATAAACAACTGGCTAATTGTTTATTGACTGGCCAAGTTTGTTGTAAGTACACTGATAATAGGTATGCAGTATTTATACTGGTCTCACCGCTGCTCTACAGCATGACGTGTAGTATTTACAGTAATCCCTGGTTACACTGCATGCATATAAAACATTATGTCATGTAATGTTTCCACTGTGTAATCACCATTTATGTTTTGGTTAGTGGGGTTTAAAGTATCAATAAAAAGATGACGATCCACTTTTGCTTCTCAAATGGCGAAAAACACAGAAATCCACAGACTTCTATGAAGTTTGTTAAGGCAGTGACTCTGTACTATCTGTGGACCGTTTGTGCTTATGTGTGTAGTTATGCCTTCACCTTAGAAGTCGGATGTCGTAGCTGACTTCACATTCCAGTAGTAGTTTGAAAATCATGGAAAAACAGGTTTTGGTTTGCTCTGTAGTGCAATGAAACTATTACTGTGTCACTCGTGATATGGTGCTTGGTTTTTGTTTGTTTGTTTTTGCACTTAAAAGCACTACTGGAGCACATTCACAGACAAACTGGTCAGTGCTCTGCATATGGTTTATTTAGCCACAGCATTGGTTACAGATAAGTTTTACTCTTTTGCTAATGTTTACTTTAACAGTCAATCTTGGATTGCTGAGTTGGGTTCGGTAGGGTTGCACTGAACTGACTTCAGTTCAAAATTGGAGCTGGAAACTCATAAATCGTTACCTCAACATCAAATGAAATTCACCAGTACCTCCCAAAGGCCTGCTTTGAAGCCCAGATCAATGTTTTGATTGATGCCAGCTCGTTCATGTTAACATCATTAATAATAATTTTACACTGCGTACACACAGAACCTCTAGTGCAAAAGCACCAGTGTTGTTTAACTGTGTGGTTACATGTGATTTGTAAATGTAACCTGGTCCTATGCTGACAAATCACTGGAACTGATTTTTGCTGTAATTTCCAGCACTGCCTCCTCGTCACTTATGACCTCTAAAACTGCTCGCACGATCAGGCTTCACACAACTGCGTGCGTGGACGCACAAAGACGGGAGGGCGTTGGTGTGAGCGGTGTTGAGCTGTTAAGTGATTTGAGTGCTACTAACCTGCACCATGTGAACTGTTTAAAGAGGGCTGTGGGGAAGGTGGGTTTGCGTGTGAGGCCATCACGTGCCTGCAGAGAGTAAACAGCTTTTCCTGCAGTAAGATCATGTGTCCCCATATGCTCATTTTGTGTAATCTCGCTTGTATTTCCAGCCTTACCTCAGTTCCCTTTTGTTTATTATCCTTTCGGCGGTTCGCTTCGTGTTTGCGCTAATTGTCAGATAAACACAGCCACAACAAAAAAGACAATTATACCCGTGATATACATTTATCAGCAATGTCCTCCGTAACAGTGGCACAATTACCAGCAATCAGACCACCACAAACAAGCCTATGCTGGCTCTAAATGGGCTTCGGGGGGTGAATGCACACATAATCATGACAGGTCTGCACACATTTACCTTACTTAGCAGAAGTCTGTTATTTCAAGCCATTTGATTAGCTGTAGTATTGTAATTTGAAACCCACCTTAAGATTTGATTTGTCTTACAATCCTTGTGATTTTCCTTCTGTTTTCAAAGTTAAAACCCTCGTGGTGGGTGCCAGAATAAAGTGCAAGTGGCAAGCGCCTAATACCTCCTGGATTTGTTCAGCAGTTATACTGGAAGAGGTGGCGCTCTGAGACAGTCTGATACATCACTGAGGATCATTTGCACCTTCATTAGGACAGGAAGCCATTTTCTGCCAAGCCTTTTTTTTCCCTCCAAGTTTTCATGCTGGCTATTCAACATCTCAACCAGATATTTAGTTTCCAGAATTAATCAGCTGCACACAACATACTATTCTACTTTTCTCCTCCCATTCCCCGCCCGTACCTTCCCCTCTACCTCCTCCCATGCGTCATTCCTCATCAGTAATCTGCCTTAATGTCCTTAGCCTGTCATAGTGTTTGGAGTTCATGCGTCAGCTGACCTACACAGAAACTGGGTCACGACGATGGTGTGGCGGGGCTGGGAAAGCTCTGCTCTTTCTTCCTAAATCTTTCCATGAAGCTTCCATTCTTCTTGCGTTTCCTGCCATGTTTATAATCATTTCATTTTCCTCCACAAACACATTCAGCTCACTCTTGCTGCATGGCGGTGCTCTAGAAAGTAACGCATTTATTATTAACAGATTTCAGTAATCCAGTGACAGAACTGTAGCAGTAATTAGGAACTATTATCAACCCCAAAGTGATTTGGGGTTGATAATAGACAGGTGGGTGTTTTCTCTCACTCTGGCCTCAAGAAAAAAAACTAGCGTGATATCCAAGAAATGGGAGGAGCTTAGGTAAATGACTAAATGCCACTAAAGCAGTGTGGACATGCTTGAATTTGCAGGCGTGACTTCCCGCTGGTGTATGAATCTGGGATAGCATGGATAATGTTTGTTTAGAAGTACAGGGAGAAGAAAAGTTGTGTTGTAATGCTGTTTATTTACAGTGTGGGTATTTAAAAAGAATTCTAACCTGAAACAGTATTGGGTTTATTCTGAAAAAGCCACATGGGTTATTAGTTAAAAGAGGCAAAATGAGGGAGTTTCCCTTTTCTCTGACCTTTCTTTGCTGTTAACTGTTGATTAAAAGTCCCCCGTCTGTTTCATATTAACACACTTCCACTGTTTCACAGAGCCAAATCCCCCCACGCTTCCCTCAAAGGCACAAACTTGAAACAGCTGCTTAAAACCAGGCAGCATCAGTCAGCGCTAACGAAGTAAGGACGGGTTTTTCTTGAAAAGAAACTCAGCCATAGGATTACTCGTCGTCATATTGATGTAAATGATTTTTTAGATAGCCTCACTTGAGACTGCGCTACTCGCCAGTTAGCCTTAACATTAAAAGCACCCGCCTGATGCTATGTAGCATCCCCCTGTGTACCTCAGATAAATCTGACCCAGTGCATCCTTTAGGTTCTTTGGATTGCAGGATGAGGCCTCCTGGTCTTACTTCACCTGTTGTTGGTAATTGGTTAATACATTTTTCATTTTTCTGTTTTTGTATCATAAATGCAGATATGACGACATATTATATTTTTATAACAGTCTACACCTGTTCTCTTTGTCATCCTTTAAGACTCTGAAGCGCAAGGAGAAGGAGTACGAGCACGAGATGGAGCGTCTGGCTCGAGAGAAGATCGCAACGCAGCAGCGGCTGGCCGAGCTGAAGAACGAGCTCAGCCAGAACATGGACGCCATAGAAATCGACAGAGTCCTCAGACAGACCATCCAGCCAGAGGACGACCAGGCGTCCACGTCCACGGCCTCAGGTAAGGGAACAGACTGCAGCAGTTTGTTTTCAAACTGAATCGCAGGAGAGAAGGGTGATCAGAGAAGTTTGTTTTTTGATGTAGCAGTCGTTACATGTGGTTTGAATTTTACTTTTACGTAAACATTCATATCGTGATCACTGTTTCTGCTCTAATCTGCAGAAGGAGAAGATAATTATGAGCAGGACATGGACGAGGACGTTCCCGCCCCTCCTGCTCCCACGCCCCTCCCCAAACCGGCTCCTCCCATTTTACAAGCTCAGCCGCTCATCACCCCTCACCTGGCGATCCAGCACACCACACTGCCTATCCTCACCAGCGCCTCCCCCGTGGGTCCTCCTCCACCTCAAGCCATTGCCCCTGCTCCAGCCCCGGGTCAACCCCCACCGCCACCTCCTCATCCTATCCAGCCCCCAGCCATGCAGGTCCAGCCCACCGTCATCGCTCACGCCACTGTGTCCCATGCTTCAGTCATCCAGGCTGTCAATAATGCCCTTCCCACCAATCACAAACACCTAACGCATATCGCTCCATCACCTGGCCCCAACTCTTCCACACCTCAGCCGATCACAGCGGCTCCGGCTGCCCCTGCCACCGCCACTCACCAGCCAATAACTGCCCAGCCCATCGGACACATCACCGTCCATCCGGTGGCCCACCTGGGCTCTCCTTTGGCATCCCACCTCCCGACTCTCTACCCCCAGGGCATGTCTGTGTCCCAGCCCACGATGGTGGGCCACATCGCCCACACCTTCACCCACCACACCCTTCCTCACGTCCAGGCCAATCCTCAAACTAACACTAACGGCGCCCAGGTGAACAGCGCGACTGTGGTGAGCCAGGGAAGCCCGTCGCTAGGGAAACCCACAGCAGTGCTGGCCCCCCACCCACAGCTGGTTGGACAGGCTACTGTCCTGAACCCTGTCACCATGGTTACAGTCCCAACCTTTCCCGTCAGCACGCTCAAACTGGCCTGAAACAGACAATAATACCTGTAGCGATGGATGTGAGACAAGAGAACGAGTTTTCATCTCCTGTCAGTCGCAGAGTCTCTGACAGACACGTGAACATTTGAGCATCAACTGTTTCTGGACTTTGTGTGATGAATATCTTCTGAGATATTTCAGTCACAGCTCTGTTAGTTTGTGAACAATTACATTAAAGCTGAGTCAGCAGGTCGGGCCATTGTTTGTGAAAATGTGACTGTGACGTTTGTCTCCCCCGCAAACACAGAAACTCTGTTTTACCTTTTTATCTTCCTTCCTTTTCTCTTTATTTTACCGCCAGAGGCACTAACACAATAAGCTCTGTTTGCACTCAGGCATCAAGGATTTACTTTAACTGGTCATTCAGTCATTTAGGGGAAATGATTACAGCGAGACAGAGAGAGGACTTTGAGCTCGTGTGGGACGTGTAACGTCACTCCTGTGTTTAAAGGGTGGAGCTGGAGTTGGATTCAGTGGTCTCATCCAGATAAATCACACGCAGGGCCGTTTATCAGTCAATTACATCACATAACATTACATAGTTAATTAGGGCTAAAACATTGTCACGTACTGATGCAGTTATTTAGTTTTTTCTACCAGGAACACGACAGGAAAGTTTTTTGTTCTTCCCCTTTCGCCATGATCTAAGTTCGACACGTGGCAGACGAAGTCATTCTTTAAACATCTTGCAAATAGTTTAAGGAAAAGAATTTGAGGATGGTAGTGCAATAAAAAAAACCTGACACGCTGCAGTTCAGAATACAAAAAAAGGAGACAGCACATCTTTTTAAAGGCAAATTCTGCAGTGGAGTTAATTTTTTCATTTTCTTTTTATCCACTACCTCAGAAGGCTTTTATTTTGGAGGGCGACTCCAAAACAGCGATTTGCTCCAGAGAATTGGGGCAGTGATTGCTCGGTTTGGTCAGCGTACAGTAGTGTCTGTTATTGATGGCCCTGTGGAGAAGTTGTGTCATGTTAACCACAAATAAAAGTAGGGCAGTAAGTTTGAAGCGAGCAGGAGCTGAGTCAGAAAAGCAGCTGAGGACAGAAGCTGGCAACTGGGATTTTCCAGCTATTTGTTGAAAAAAATAGTTAAAAGTAGGAAGAGCGTGCAGTGCAGTCAGCTTTGATCTGGTTACCTACACCCACAGTAAAAAGCTTGCCTTCTGCTGGGTTTTTAAAGAAAGATGTTAAAGGCTCTCAGCTATCTTTCACTGCCAGATTCAAAACCTGAGAAGTTGCCCAGTTACCCACAGGTCATTTGAGTGCATCAACTCCCGTCAAGTCTGCACACACTGGTGGTTATTGAGGCTTAAAGCGGCTTAACGAGCCCTCAGGAAACCTCCTAGGACTGCTCCGAAGCTCGTGTTTGTGCGTTTTAATAGGATTGTTTATTAGCTAAGACATTTTGAAACCAACCAAAGGCTGAGCGAGACTGTATGCAGAAAATTGTCTGCATACCTGCTCTCAAACAGTCAGGCAGGTTTCCTTTTGTCCCTTTGATGAGTGATGTTCCTTCAGCACACTGTGGGGAAAACAGGTTTCCAGCCGCTTTAGTGTAACGCAACAGCTCCCTCTGCTGTCGTTACCCAGGCACACACAGCACACAAGTTTCCGATGAGGCTTTTAAAAATTGTGAAAATGCTTTTTTTTTTTTTTTTTTTTTTTAAACTTAACAGAACGAAACAAAATTATATGACTGTATGGAAGCTTGTTTATGCCACTAAAATAAAAACAAAAAACACAATGTTGCCGTTCAGACTTCTGAGAACATAACTTTAAATGGTTAATATTTCGAAATTTCAGCTTTCTCAGAAGTTTCGCTCAGCAAGATGACATTTTGAAGAAATAAAAAAATTTAAAAAAATTTTTTTACATTCTTCCAGTGGCAGAAACAACCTTCCATAGATTGAACTATCACTTTATCTACTTGTTTTGGAGGGCGATGCAAGGCCAAAAATACAGCTTTTCATTCCAAGAGAAATTTGGAAGAGATGTACGACAAATGCTGAACACCAAATCTTCAGCCGCAGTCCAGAAAATTTGTTTAAAAAAAAAAAAAAATCAAATGTATTTAAATTTTAAAAAAAAGCCGAAAGTGTGTTCGTGTGCGAGCGCATTCTCACAGCCTTCTCGCCAGCCTTTTCATCAGATTTCGCTTCGGTATAATGTCGTCAGTCTTGCGTGGCTCTGCTCCTCACCTCCTCTGCTGGTTTCTGTGTGTTACGTATGTATATGTGACTGTTTTCAGTATGTTTTATATTCTGTACTATAGCTAATCCTATTGTACCTGTAGCATGGCTCTGTTTTTTGTTTAGGTTCTTTTGGGAGGGGGGTGTTTACCCTTTGCCCTGTGCATGATTGAATGTGTGTGTGAGCGTGTAGCTAGCAGGTTATTTTTTTACACAGAGGTGATTTATGGTATGAGCCTGTTTGGGTGCTATTGTGTGTGCCTCTACTCAGTTTTCCTGAACACTGTGACAGCTCTGGCAAAACACATCGAGTGAATGGAAGAGACAAAGAATTACTGTCACACTCGTTTTTTTTTTCTTTTTCTTTATTCTCCTTTTTTTTTTAACATGTAAGGTTTCCATATTTGTGAGTTGGACTGAGACATGAAATGTAGGGGGGGGGGCAAAAAAAAGCTGTTGATCCTTTCTTGATAACCTAATAATGTCTAATATTTGAGTTTTTGTAATATTTGTATGTATGTATGAAAGTTTTGTAAATTTGTGATTGTATGCACGTTTTGGCAAATGAGTGTATGTATCTTCAAAATTTTAAAAATGCTTGTTTCTTTTCTTTTTTTGTTTTGTTTTGCATGTAGATTCTGTTTAGTTTCTTTTGATTAGAAGTTTTGTTTTAATGTTTTATTTCTGGGACCATGTACAATACTATATAACGTGGGCAGAATCTTGGACCTCATGCTACATTGATATTATATATGAATATAAAAAACATCTTTTCCCTATGGAGAAAGTTTTAAGTTATATATCGCCTGTACACTTTGGGCTGCCTTTTAGATCTAACTGTCCACTGTTTAAGATAACCATGATAATAATGGATTAAAAAAACATATTAATGAAGAATTATGCTGATGAAATAATAAAGATTCTTAATAAATCTTATTACATTTACAACACATTTTGCTTCTGCGTGAGTGGTTTTCAGAAGAAAAATTTAAACGGGCTTAAGACAGTTTTTTTTACTTGTTTTTTTTTTTTACAAAACAGCAAAATTGGATATTAAAAATTACAAAACAAGTCAACTCACAAGAAATAAAAGCATGAAAAACTGTTTAAGTTGAAACATTAAAAAAAAAACTTACTTTGCTACAGTGAACACTAGATGGCAGTATGATATGGAGGCCTAAAACTACCATGATCAAAATTAAATGAACAAATAACTTGTTAAATAAAAACACCATAAAATAAAATAAAAAAATACTTTTTTTTGGTATTGTGTTTCTGCATCATTATGCAAATTAGAAAGGTTGTCGATCGAAGTGGAGCAACTTTTCACCTACTGCACATGTCAGAGGGATCGTGTGTTAGACGCAGGGGTTGAACCTTTTTGCTTTCAGTAATTTAGAAGTGTGAGGGCTCATTACAAATTTAAATACGGAAGAAAAGTAAAATAAATATCAACATATTTGTTTTGAATAACTTCTTTACCAAATGAATGATGTATTTATTTTGTTTGTGGCAGCTTTGGTCCATTAACGAGGTTGCTGATAAAGGGATCATGTTCACATGATAAAGAAACAAATCTACCAGTCATAAAAAAGAAATGCAAGTGTTATGTGGTGAAATATGTTTTCACTCTTTGCTTTGCAACAGATGTCTGAAGACGAGGTGCTCCAAGCTGTACTAGAGGCAGCGGTGCCTCCTGCTGTTCAGGAGGACAATGTCAGGGCAGAGCTGGTCTTTCTGGATCAGGATCATTTTCACACACGTCCTTATCATTTAGCACCAATATGTCTCCTATCAAACATGTCTGGGACATTCTGGGTCAGCGTGTTCATCAGTGTGTCTTTTGCATGATGAACACGCCCCAACCAGTCAAACCAGCCCCTCCCTGAGCCTGGATCCACCAGTTAAAAGAGGGGTTTTCCTTCCCACTGTCGCCAAAAGTTTGCTAATAGGGGGTTTTCTGATTGTTGGAGTTTTCTCTGTATTACTGTAAGGTCTTTACCTTATAATAAAAAGCATCTTGAGGCGACTGCTATTGAGATTTGGTGCTATATAAATAAACTTGAACAGCAGCAATCATCATTATCATTGTACAGCTGCAGGCTGCTCATCCAGGAATGGAGAGCAATTCTTCCACACATCCAGGAGTTGGGTGACTGCTTGCATTGGATCACATCTTATATTTACATATGCCATAGTGTTGGTCTATAAACTCTATTTAAAACACTGACTTGTGTTCCTTTTTTAGCTAGCATGTGACTAAAACAGTTGGAGCACTCTGGTTTTTCGAATGGGTGACTCATTCCAAAGTCCAAATCAGTTATCCTGCTGAGATGCTCCCAAACAGCAATACTGAGCTTTTGACTTGCATGTCCTTGCAGTATCCTTAATAGTTATAGAATGTTTTAGGATAAAGTTCATGATTTTTCTTTTCTAAAGGCGTTTAGGATTAGGAGGTTAGATCGGGAGTTAGATCTGGAAAAAACAGGGAAATCTTTTCTAGTATCTTTGGAAAGTCGTGATTCCAACTATGATTCTCACTGCAAGTTATCCTAAGTAAGAACAATTAGAAATAGGCTCAGTTTCAAGCTTGCCAATTGCCAAGGCCTCCTCTGTGACTCTGGGTGCTCCTCGTCTGGCTCCTGTTTCAGGGATGTACGGTGAGAATCAGCAGCCACTTCTATGACTGTGCTGCATCTGCTCCTGAATCCGCTCCAGCACCTCCTGCATCTTTCTCAGCTTAAAAACAAAATAAGAGAGTAAATACAGGTCTGATTACTCATAAGCTAAGTTGATGAATGAATGAATGAATGAATGAATGAATGAATGAATGAATGAAGAGAAACACACCTCTTCATCCTTTTCATAGATCAGTCTTTCCTTCTCAGTGTCAGCGACGGCCAGAGGCAGAGGAAAGTCTGCCTCACTACCGTCCCGATATTTCTCACGCAAACTAAGACCAAACCCACACACACAAAGATATTACAAAAATATCTGACCTCACTGTGCTTAACAGGGTTTTTTTCAAGTTTTTTTTAATATTGGTTTGTGGTGTTGTGCATCCTGCCTCCACCCACCTGCGTTTCCTCTCCAGCACCACCATGCGTGTCATGTTCTGGATGCACTGAGCTCTGTAGTTCTCATAGTGAATTTCCCGCGTCACGTCCTTCAGATCCTGCATGTGCGTCCTCACCAACATGTTCCTCAGCAGCAGGAAGTCGGAGTGAGCCGGGTTCTCCACTGACCATGCAACAGCAACATTGTTACCGCATCATACTGGATTCTTTGTTATCAAATGGAACAACAGCCAGGTGCGCAACTGACACAAAATGTACTCTAAGGGGTAATGATTGAGTAAAAGTAAACCAAAAAACATAAAAAAAAAAAAAAAACTAAAGTAAAATTAAAATTAAAAGGCTTGGGGTAATACCTTCTACCACGCCCCAGGGATAGACGCGACCCCTGAACTTTCGACCTTTACTCTCCACCTGTACGTTACTCCCAATCACAGCAAATGGGATGCTGTTCTGCAAGAAAACAACAACAACAACAACGACGACAAAGAAAAAAGCCCAAACCAAAATAAACCGTCAGCCTTAAAATAGACCAGACAACACATTTCAACCATGACAACGTGAATAAAATGAGGAACCTTAAGTATCTGTTCCTGTGTCTTGAAGTCTTCGTCCTCATCTGAATCACATTCAGGAAACTGGTAGATGTTTATCCCAAACTGCTTGATCTCCTCCCTGATCTGGAGCACATGAACACACATTAGGAGAAGATGTGTAACAGAAATAGATAAACTATATAACAGAGATTGGAGATCAATTACAGAACAGAACTGGGTTGCCAGAGGGTCAAATCAGCCCTGCTGGATAGCTTTGCATAGTTTGAAATTAAAGGAGTCATGAATAATTCCAACTTGGTGCACTGCAATTCCTGCTGTGTTGTGATACAAGGCAGGACGGATCCATGCGTACACCAAACTCTGACCCTAACTGCAGAAATCAAGACTGCTTCAATCCAATCAGACCAGGTAATGCTTTTCCAGTCTTTTTGTGTCTGGTTTCAGGACCCTGTGCAAATTGTAGCTTCAGTTTCCTGTTCGCAGCTGACTGCAGTGCCACCTGGTGTGATAACCTGACATTGTGCTTCAAAGTTCCACATGTGTGTTCAGAGATGCTCTTCTGAATACCTTCACTGTAATGAACGGCTATGTGGGTTAATGTTGCCTTCATGTTAGCTCCAAACAGTCTGACCATTATCCTCTGACATCAACAAAGATTTTTCACCCAGAGAACAGCTGCGGGCTGGATATTTTCTCTTTCTCAGACCATTCTCTGTAAACCCTAGAGATGGTTCTGTGGGAAAATCCCATTTAGATCAGCAGTTTCTTAAGTACTCAGACCAGCCCTTCTGGCCCCCCAAAACTATGTCACATTCAAAGTCTCCTAAGTAATCTTTCGTTCCCATTTTGATGCTCACTTTGAACTTCAGCAGGTCCTCTTGGCCATATCTATATGCCTAAATGCATTGAGCTGCTCCTGTGTGATTGGCTGATTAGATATTTGTGTTAACAGAGAGTTGAACAACACCCAGTGAAGCAGCCGTGTGTACATATTGGTATAACCGAGCTGTTACCTTCATCTTCTTTCTGCAGACCTCTGCTGGTGTCAGGCTGTCAGCTTTGGCCAACACAGGAATTATGTTGACTTTTTCATGAAGCGCCCTCATACAGTCCACATCCAGAGGTCGAAGGCTGATAAGAGAAAATAGTCACATACAGAAATGTGCAAAAATAAGAAAAAGTTTAGCTGATGCTGTTGGAACAGTGTTATCGCCGTTTCATCAGTGTACCCATGTCCGAACGGTGAGATGAAGTAGAGGCAGCAGTGGACTCTGTTGTCCTGAATGTTTCTTCTGTTCAGCCCGCTCTCGTCTCTGAAGTACTGTTCAAACTGCTGGTCGATGTAGTCGTCTATGTGCCTCCAGCTGATGCAGAAACAGAAAATGAATGAGTGAAACCTGGAGGCACACTGACACTCAATGTCAGCGATGAAATCAAGGGCTACGTATGTGCTTCACGAGTTCAATTCAAATGCCACCAAAATACCAAAGTCTTGCTCGAGTTAAGCTGGTTTGACTGCGAGGAGGAGTTCGTGACCTCACCTTTCTGTGTTGTTGACGGCATCTCCGAACCCTGGCGTGTCTATGATGGTGAGCCTCAGTTTGACTCCTTTCTCCTCAATGCCAACGGTGTGTTTGATGATGGCGACTGTTCGACTGATCCGCTCTGTAAGCGCACGCAGTTTGTTCAAAGACGCATGAGATCACACACGTGACATCAGATTGTGTGTCTACCCCCCCAATACAGAAAGTGAAAAACGAATACTTACCTTCAGCATTGAGAACTTTTCTGTCCTTGTAAAGATCCGTGAGGAACAAACTGTTGATTAGTGTGGATTTACCGAGACCGGACTCCCCTACAGAGACGTTTGAGTAAGGTAATAAATCATCTGTCTTCCTCGGAAGAATTTGTGTCAACAGATAAAGTTACAAGGATTTATGGACGCCACGCTCCCACTAATCAGTGGCGTGTTTTAATGATCGCTGGCAGAGCAGTGATGTCCGTTATCTCCACTTAAGAAGATATTTTTTTAACTTTGTTTTACTCGTTTATCATCACTTAAGTTTTTTGATATTTGATATTTTTGACTTGTTGTGCCTTTTGTAAAACCCTTCCTCCTCAGGAGAGAAATCAGACTCACCTGCGACTATGAGTGTGAATGTGAAGCCTTTCTTCACAGTTTTTCTGTGGACCTGGTTTGGTAATGTGGCAAAACCTACGTACTCCTTGTCCTGATCCTAAAGAAGGAAAATACAAAGATAACATACACATATGGGGATATTTACTGCTTCAATTAGAAATTCTCTCTACATCCTCGAGCTTCAGTGCTCCTTAGTTAATAAAGCAGTCAGATATGGGCCTGAAATGTCCAAACTGGTTATCAGTAGCCCTGTCGTTCTCCTCATGGATACTGTAGCACTTATTATCTTGAATAAATAAACATATATTGTGTCACAATAACAGCCATGACTCTCGCGTCACAGGCTGATCCCTATTGGGCCACAAGCTGGACTGCAAAGGATCACGAAACCTCATTTCACTTTGCCTTTGCCCCAGAAGCTTCGGTGCACCAACGGTGAGCAGACAAGAAAGGAAACCATAGACGCGTCTTAGCTTTAGAGCTTAATATGCTCTTTAAGGGCCAGACAGATGTGATAACCAAACTCGCTTGCCGCTTTTTTTTCCCCTGTGTGAAAGTTGATGTCGTAAACTGTGTTTCTTTGAAAGCTGCATGAAGGAGTTGGAAACTGTTGAACGGGTACTGAAAGTGGGTGTAAGGTTTTAAAGATGTACTACGAAGTAAAGTAACACAGAGGTTCAGGCAACAAACATTTAGAGACATAAACAGCCAGACATTATATAAAATAGTAAAAACATACCTCAGGAGAGTCGTAGGGGTCAAAGCGTCCCCAGGGGCTACGTGGGCGCATGGAAGGGCTGAGCGGCGAGTCCAAAGACACCTGAGAAACAATCTGCCTCCTCAGCGGTAGCTGCTGAAATTCTGGATCTAGTCCCATGTGATTATGCCTAGGAGGGACTGCTGGAGAGCCCCTGGGGTGGAAGGGGATGGTGCGGACCAGAGAGGGAGTCCCAGGAAGGCTGAGGTGTCTCCCATTGATGGGGCTCCCAATGCCTTCTGCTCCATAGTGGCCTGGTCTCTGGTGCTGTTCACCAGAGTGAGACATGAGAGGCAAATCCCTCATGGCATAAGGATACTGCATGTCCTCCTGGTCCCTTATGGACAGACTGGACAACTAAAACAGAGAGCAGCATGATTTTTCCTCTGTCTGATATTATTTTTTTTAAATTAGGCACAGCAGACGAATATACCTCAGCTGACAGGACTCTTGTGAAAGCCCCTCTCTAATTATGAGTGTGTGGATATATGTGGCTGATAACCGTGCTCTCCTGAAGGTACCGCAGTGATGTTGGGCTGAGGCTGATTTTGGTCATCTGATAGGGGAAAACAGCTCACTTATCTGCCTCTTTTTCTCATTGTGGCTTTGTGTATGTGTCCACAGCCTATGTATGTGTCCACAACATAGACGGATTATCACCACACTCACTCAAGATTGTTGTCTAAGCCTCGTGTTTGCAGTCAAACAAAAAGATGGGTAAGCTGGAGAAACATCGAATCCTAAAACCTGAAGAAAAGTCGCATCATGATTAAAATACTCATCATTCGTGTATCAATCATTGGTCATGGTTGTACCTCTGTCTGTCTGACCTCAGCGAATCAATGGTAATGCTGATATTTTGGCTTTAACAGCAGTAACTGGAGGTGTTTTTCCCCTAAGATAAGCACTAACTAGGCTTCCTGTTAATCTCATAACATTACACACTCCAGACTGCCTGTTGTGAGAAGACAGAAGGTTTCTCACAACAGACCAATAAGATTGTCTTTGTCCTCAGAGGAATTAACTTAATAACTTAAATTTCCAGGGTAGCCACCTGTCCCAGGAGCTCTGTGTCACAAGGCTTTGACAAGGAGATATAAATAACTTAACAAAGAATAGAAGCTGGAATTTATTAAAATGGTAATTGAAGGAGGCCATGAGGGGGTGATCTGTATTCCGGTCATGCAGTAAATGAATCATAATGCTATGACAGTAAAACCATGAATTTTTGGTGTTCCACTGTAATTTTCCTCCCGCCCTTTAGATATCTTTAACACTACTAAAATTAAAATAACCAGGAAACTAAAAAGTCTGATTGTTTGTTGCTCTCTGAATACATGGCCTAATGACGTATCTTTTCTTGCAGTGTTGGACTAAACCCTTCACTGATTAGGTGTGACCTGTGATCTCATTATACCGTTACAAATGCCGTCGTCCATCTGTCCAGGCAGGATGTAGAGACCGTTTGAAGCTGGAGGTTCGTAAACAATAGGGTCAAACCGGATATACCCACAAGGCTGTGAGTGCCGGTTTCTCAGGTTCGTTCAGCATGAAATCTATAGCTAGTTAAAAATAACCAGAATTGTATGTTTTTGTGCTGATTTTGTAGTTTTCCAAAACTTCACTCCACACCTGCTTCCACACAAAATGACTGTACCCTATGATGAGGAGCTAGGATAGGGAATTTCCACCTGCTTTATCCAAGATAAACACCCTGGGCTCTTAAAGTGGTTAAAGGAATGCAGAAAAGCGCCGGCCACGGTGCTGCTGGATTGACCAGGGTTTATCTGGCATTCCTCTACCTGTCAGCTCTCATTACCCACAAAACTTTGCAGTAGGCTTAATCCAGCTTCTAGCGCTCTGACAGGGTTGGGGTTTGGAGATTTAACTCTTAAACACACACATAAGCTCAAACAAACACTACTTCTATAGGCTACTCTACAAAATTGTCCTACCTCCTTGCCCGAGAAAGTTGAAGCTTTGTTTTGAGGAGAGCAAATTGGAAAAAATATATATTAAAAAATTATTTATTCAGGTTTGCTGCATCCATCCTGCACAAGCTAAAAACGTAATCAATTTAACGTTACTACACACCCTGATGTCTAAAAAGTAAATCTGCAATAAAATGCAGAACTGAAATGGAAAAAATAGCAGAAAAATACTAAATGACCCATAACCCCCCATTGTTTATACAAACAGATAAACTGATGAAATTACAGTAAATAAGATGAGAAAACATTAGCTTAAGAATACAATAACCTACAGAGATATAAATCCTTGCAGGATTGTCACAGGCTGCAGCTTCAAATTGGCTGAGCAAATTTTATCTGCTGAAAGTATCAGTGTAGGCCAATTCCAGTTGCTTTCTGAAGGAGCCTTGTTCTGTAGACTTGTATATTAACTGGATTATAGACTTACCTTTTTTATTGCTGCGAAATCTGACGGGAGAGGACATGTGCTCCATGCTGCTGGTATTCAAGCTGTCCCTGGATCAGAGGAGAGCAGCGCATGGCTGCAGCACAATGCTGCAGATGCTCTGTGGGCGTGTGCGTCCCTGAATTATACTACTCAGCTCCGGGTGCACCCTGCTCCATGTCTACTCAGTGTTACCGCTTTTCTGTGGTTACAGAACAGCTTAATACAGCTCAGCGATCATCATCATCATCATCATTATAATAATGTTAATGGAATGATTGTGAATCTTTAATATATTTAAAAAACACAAATTTCGTGCAAAAGTTTGAGTGTGTTTTGCATTTTCTCTAATCCACAGAGGGTCAAAAGCATACATACAGAAGTCAAATGTAATATTTGGTTATATATCCCTTAGCAAGCTGCACCTCAACCAGATGCTTTTAGTAGCTATAAACAAGCTTCAAGCACAATTCTGGCTGGAAATTTGATCAGTTTTGGTAAAGTTCATTTAAATTAGTTGGTTTCCTGTCACAGACACAGATTTTAAACTTTGTTCACAAATTTTCAATAGGATTGAGGTTGGTACTTTGGAAAGGCCCTCCCAGAAGCTGGATGTAAGCCTACTTTCCAAAACCAGTTTTGATGTGTGTTTGGGATCATTGTCCAGGTGGAACTTCTCAATATTTTAAAGATTCATTCATCCAGCTGTTGATTTGAGGTAAAGTTGAAGAATTAGAAGGTACTCTTAATTCTTCCCAACTTCTGTAAATCTACAGTACAGCGTCATAGATCTTCACTGAGATCCATGGACTTCCTCATTGTTTGGAGTATTGGTCAATCTGAGGCTCTATGTATAACTAAACCTGTGTGGATTATAGAAAATACTGTTTAAATTCTGATTTGTGACCCATTGTTTATTTAAGTCATTAAAAATCTATGATGTACAATCCTTCCACATAGCAAATAGAAAGCTCAAAGAAACCACTAAAAGCTCAAAATTACCATGACATTTATGCACATGATGAGTTGTTATAAACCTCTGACCACAGTGAGTTAATTTTACACAAAAAATATGTTTGGAGTATTTAAGACTGGCAATCCAAGCTTGAGGTGGCATAAGATACAAATAACTTCCTATTTATAGGAGAAACCTTAAAAAAGAAAAAAAAGAAGAAAGAAGGAAACATTATTTTAGCAGTAGATTATAATACCATAATTAAAGATCTGACAAAAGTAGTGAGTAAAATTTCCAGCATTTCTATCGAGTGGCTCAAAGTGTGTTACAATGAAGAAGAGTGGAGTCTATCAAAGCAGTAAGTGTTGTGGATTTTCTACTACCCGTAGTTGTTTTGTAAGTATGCTCCCTGGAGTAAGTCCACAACCACATGTGGGCTAGCCCAGTTTTAATACTAAAAGTCCATAAAATTCTCTTCGTTTAATCTTTGTGAAGCCAAAAAGACCTGTATAGTACTGTAGACGTAAACAAGGTTAGCGCTTCAGCTTACTTAGCTATCTGTGCTTATTGAGTTATATTTATGCAATCATTTTTAATTTTTTTGGCAACCATGAAAGCTTGAGTCTGAAAGTTGCTGCCATTTTTATGTTTTAATATTATTGTATTTAGGTACATTTAGTCAAGATTAGCCAGTTTAACTAAGCTAGCCTAACGGCTTTTTTTGTATAAGAAAAGTATGTTAAATATTTTGGTAAGTGTGTACACATTCATGTCGTTATATAGTAAAGTAGTCACATTTAGACAATAAATCAATCAATAAACAAGCCGGAAAACGATTGGATTTAAATATATGCTAACACGTGAGGCTAATCTTTAAGTGTTTGTTCAGCTTTTTCTTCCAAATGATTAAAAAGTCTTCACGATATATTTCTGGACTAAATTTCTTAATGTCAACTCTGAACATCATTGAGCTGCTTTATTTTTCAAATATTGCTGGTTGATTTACAGACTGACACCTTGTTGGCTACAGTAATGTTTTTGTCAAGAGAGGGCCCCCACTCAAGCCTACAGGGGGTGAGTTTATATTAGCTAGGTCATGGGATTATATTATAATTTATTCAAATTTGTTAAGAGATTTAATATGAAGAATTTGGAGGTTGTCCTGCTAAATTTCAAATCAATTTAAGATTAGAGAGGGAACAAATGATTTTGAACATGGCATGGTTGGTACTGACAGATGGGATGAGCTGAGTATTTCAGAAACTGATCATTTAAATGGGATTTTCCTATGTCTGGGGTTTACAAAGAATTGTCAGGGAAGAAAAGAAAATATCCAGTGAGCAGCAGATCTGTGAGAGAAAAGGCCTTGTTGATGCTAGAGGTCAGAGAATGGGCAGACTGGCTTAAGCAGATAGAAAGGCAATGGTAACTCAAATAGCCACTTGTTAAAACCATGGTATGTAGAAAAGCATCTCTGAATGCACACCATGTTGAACCTTTAATTGGAAGGCCACAGCTAAGAACAGGAAACAGACTACAGTTTGCATATGATCACTGCATTTGAACAAAAAAACAAAAAACAAAACAGTGCCCGATTTCTGCTGCAACATTTGTATGGTGGGGTCATACTTTGACCCAAACAACATGAAAGCATGAATACATGCATCCTTGTATCAATGGTGATACAAGGATGCATGTATTCATGTTGCAGGGGATACTTCGGGCCCCAACTGAGCATCATTTAAATACCTCAGCCTACCTTAGTACAGCAGCTGACCATTTCTATCCCTTTAGGGTTTTTATGTTGTGATGTTTTAACCTACAATATAAAGTTCCTTGAGGTGACTGTGAAATATATCTTAAAAAATAAATAAAATAAAAATGGGGGAGACTCATATTGAATTATGACCGCAGTGCACAACTTCCAGCAGAATGAGATCATTTGTCCCAAAGTTCAAATAATCTCAAACTGGTTTCTTGAACATGTCAATGACTTCTTTGCACTCAAGTGGCCTCCACAGTCACCAGATCCCAATCTATTACAGCACCTTTGAGATGCGGTGGAACGAGAGATCCACATCATGGATATGCAGCCGACAAATCTGCAGCAACTGTGTGTTGAGTGGATCTGAGAAATGTTTCCAGACTCTATGCCATGAAGAACTAAGGCAAAAGGGTGTACCTAAAAGGTGAGTGTAAACAGTCCATCATAACAAAAATGCGTGCAATCCTTTAAGAAGAACCGTGCTGATAATTCTGGCTAATTTGTCTTTAATAAGGTCAGCATTTTAAAATATTAAATAGTTTATATTTAATTTTGTGTAATGTTTGGTAAATAAATCTTTGCTACATCGTAGTTAAAATTTTTGACTTGCATCTCTTTATTTTCTTAATTATAGTTTAGTAGCAGTAGAAGTTTTAATGTCCTCAGTTGGGTTAGATTCGGTTTGACACTTTTCCGCAGCAAATACATAAGGCGACATAAAGTGACATGTGTTCCACAGCTTCTTGGTAAAAGTGAAACTAGAGCCTAAATGGTAAACAACCAGATTTAGCTTATGTTGTTGGCCAATAAGTAAAGACCAGCTGCAGTACACAAAACAAAAACAACAACAACAACAAAACAAAAATCCCCCCAAAAAACAGTCGAGGTAAATTATAAAAAAGGATTGTCTTTACTTAATCTGTCCACTGACAATTTTTATGGAATTTAAATAAAATTTAGTTCTTTTTGTGCATTTCCATTTAAAAAAAAAAAAAATGGAAACAGTTAATTTCAATTTTGATATTTGCTATTCTCAGTGTCAGCAGGGCTCTAGCTGCAATCACATAAATACTGGTTCACAGTGGAGTATGAGACCAATGTGGGCAACATACAAATATTTACTGCTTCGCATGTTGAATATCTTGCATGATTCTACATTTACATATTCCTCTCACAAATGCAGTTTCATGACTAATTTACTTGACTGAAAAGACACAAATGTCTCCACAAACAGTCTTATTCCTTTAACACTGGGCTTTGTAGATGTGTCCCATCTTGGTCATCAATCAAAGAAATGAGCCATCCTCTGTAGATGTGTCCCACAATGCTTTGTATATCCTCCTGGACCCATTTAACTGCTCTGGTACTGGTCTTGACTGCTCACGCCGGGCTCCTAGTTGTTCTGCAGGGTTACTGTGTTCATAGGTTTCAGAGCCATGATTGCATGAGTCTGTGCTTATCGACCTGCGGCACGACTGGTTTCTACCCTCTGACCCAGTCCTCACAGTAAGGTCAGCCTGAGCGTTCTGCTCGTGGTTTGTGTGGCTGTCAAGTCTGCCATTTTGGTCTTTGTTTTCAGTAAATTGATTCGGCTCAGTGTGGTTATTTGTGTTTTCAGAGCATTGGTGGTTATTATTCTGCCAAAAAGCTTTGCAGAGCTGCTCTAACTCAGAGAGCAGAGGCAGACCAATATCCAGGTGCATCAGCAGGTTCTCCAGCCACTCCTCCAGCTTCAAAAAGGACGGACTGAAAGGCAAAAGTTGCATTAATGAGAAGTTTTAAGATGCTCTGCCACATATTGTCAGAGGTCATGTGCATAAATGCCATGGTAATTATGGGCTTTTAATCATTTACTTTTGTGTCCAGGGTATAATGATGGTACAGCATACATCTTTAATGACATTAAAATTTTTTGAAAATAAGTAGCCCAAACAGGGTCAAAAGTATAAATACAGGCTCAAATATATCCATACCCCAAAACTAATGTTTAGTTAAATATCCCTTAACAAGTTGAACCTCAAGGAACCCTATTTTGTTACTCATCAACAAGCTTCTGGCATAATTCTGGCTGAATATTTGACCACTCTTCTTGGCAGAATTGGTAGAGTTGATTTCGATTGGTTGGTTTCCTGGCATTGACCTGGTCTTTAAGCATAGTCCAAACATTTTCAATTGGGTTGAGGCTTTGGAAAGGCCACTATTTGCAATGTACCAGTACTATTGGCAGCAAAACAGCCCCAGAGAATGATGCTACCACTGCGATGTTTGACAGCTGGTACAGGGTTCCCAGGTTTGAAAGCCTCACCTTTACTCCTCCAAACATACCTCTTGGCATTGTGGCCAGATAACTCAATCTTTGTCTCGTCTGACCATAAAACTTTTCTCCAGAAGGCATGGCGAGTCTATGTGGGAAAATTTCAGTTGAGCTTGAAGGTGTCTATTTTGGAGCAAGGGCTTCTTTCTTGGTGGGCATCATCTAAGTCCATGGTGGTGTAAAACTGGCTTCACGCTCCACAGTGATGGTGGTTTTCCAGCTGTTTCCAATTCATGCTTGAGCCTTGGTAGTTCCTGGGTTGTTCTTGAACAGCGTTATCAAATGCCTGTCATCTGAGGGTGACAGTTTGGGTGTTCTTTGGCAAACTGGTGACACATGTGAATAACTTGTACTGATGTACAGCTGTTTGAGGATGAGGTTGAGGATTGTGGAATCTGCAGTTGTTGGCTTCAAGAGATCTTCCCAACTTCTGTGAATCTACAATTTTCCTTCTTAGAGCTTTGATCTTTTCCAATGTTTAGAGTATTGATCAAACCAATGAGTGCTGCCAAACCAATCGTTTTTATGCTGTTAAAGAGAAACTAACAGTTGTAGTTGATCATGTTTGCTCATGAGACGTTATTAGAGCTGGGCTTTGTCAAGTTAAAAGACACTGTAGAACCTTGTCACGAAACGTTTCAGATGAACAGAATCGACCTTTTAGGATTTACTTACCTGAATGACTCAGCATGCATCAACACTGTAGAACCTTCTTAACACTTATTAAAATACGAGTATGTATACATTTCAACTTGTATGTATACTTTTGACCTTGTGTGAATAGATTAATGTCTCTAAAAAAAAAGAAAGATGTGTGCTGTACGATCATTTCACCCTGGAAAAAGTTCAAAGAATTTAATAAAAGCCCCAAAATCATTATGACATTCACGCCAATGATGAGTTGATGTAAACTTTTCGCCACTGGTAGGCTATTCAGCAGCTAGATTATTTACTGAATTACTCAGTGAAGTATTCACTGTTTGGGTAGCAAAAAGAACGCTGGAAAAGTATTTATTGTTTCTGTATGTACTGGTGAAAAAACAAAAACGGTAAGACTTTGCCTATTAGTTTATAATTGTCAACAACAGACATACTTGAGCTCCATCTAATTTACTTGTGGTGCAATCTTACCGTTTATCAGCGTCCATGTCACAGCAGAGAACAGCCAGTGGCATGAAAGCAGAGGGGCACTGTGGAGGGTGGTACTGCTGCAGGAAACCTGCCACATTCAGCCCAAAGTCATTTCTTCTTGGAAGGTAGTCAGGATCTGCACTCACCCTCCCTATTATCTTAAGACAGAGACATACTCAGCCTTAAAACTGTTAAAAGTTTTAGAAACGTGGCATTTTCAGAAATCTTTTTAGCAGTCCAGATTTTCTTACCTCGCATAACATGATGCCAAAGGAAAAGATGTCTACCCGTTCATCATAGGTTTTCCCTGGGAGGAAAATGAAGAAGAAATTCTTAGCCTGTCCTGGATATTCAGTGGTTCTGCATTCATTATGTGGAGCTACTTATCCTCAGGCCATTATTTAAATATCTTCACTGTTTAATATTGAAGATAGCAGCTTTTATAAATCCTGAATGAATTTAGAAAATGTCCTGTGAATCCCATTTTCATTTTGTCATAAGAAATAATACACGCATGTATTTTTTTAAATCTGCACCCACCAATACCAAAGGTTTATTGCAAACTATGTTACGAAAGGCGTGAAGGTTTAGGAGCTTGATTCAGAATCTGATCACCCCTCAACATAAGTAGTAGTGTCCTAGCTTGTGTACTCACCGTGGATCATCTCAGGCGCCATCCAGTAGGGGTTTCCTACCACAGTATACCGCTTCCTGCGGTCATGCTTGCGGAGCTCTGACAGCGTCCCTTTTGTCGGACGTTCAAACGAAGATGTTCTGCTCTGGTTTCTCTCCTCCATTACCAACCTGGCTAGTCCAAAATCTGCCACCACCACAGACTGGTTCTACACAACCAAAGAGGGGTAAAGAAGTTATAACAATCAGCTGTGAAGTCTTTATTTATTTGAAAGTGGTATGTATAATGAATTTTAATAAGTAAAATTCATTAACATTCAAGAACTGTTGATCTCCTTTCACCATTGGCAGAATAATAAGAACAAGTCTTGGAATTGGATTAGAAATGTATCTGGACCAAAGTTTTGCTTGTTTTGTTGATATAATTTCAGATTTAAATAAAGTAACACATTCAAGTAACAAAGCAGTTTTTGAAGTGGAGCTATATAATGGAAGATACTGTAATTTTTGACATGTGTGCTATAAAACATCTGTTCACCTCTCTGACCAGGCAGTTGTATGAGTTTAGATCTCGGTGGATAACATTCATGGAGTGTAGATAAGCCTGTGAAGGAGAGATGATATATATATTTGACAAGTTTTTTACCAAAACAGCTTAATTTTGCAATAAAAGTTTTTTTATTCTTAGAGTATTGGCTTGAAAGACTTACCATCCCAGCTGCAATGTCTTTAGCATACCCAACTCTAATTTTCCAGGGAAAATCCTTGTCCTGCAACAGAAAGATTATGACCACCATGTTGTGTTTGTGTATGCTGATGGTTCTCATGAAGAAACATAAAAACTTAGTTTAACCTACCATTTTTATGATAGTCTCTCGAAGAGTTCCTCCCTGGATGTATTCAGAGACAAAATGTATTCGCTTGTCCTTATAAAACAGCCCAATGAACTTGAGAACATTGGGATGGTCCAAACAGCGCATCACCTTTACCTGTACAAATTGAGAGGGATGCTGGTTAAACATGTCATGCTCTCTTCAGGCCTTTTCTGCGCCCACGACCACTTACCTCCTTTAAAAAAGTCTTCTGCGTCTCTTCGTCGAAGCGTATCAACTCTTTCATCACCATGACCTCCCCAGTCTCCTGATGCGTTACCTTTAGAGAGAGAGATAAGTTCATAACAGTGCTGCTGATTAAAATCAGCATTACAACTAAAAGCGAGTTGCAGTCAGGCAACAAAATGATGGAAACAGCAAGGCACCTTGACAGCCTGTCCAAAGCAGCCCTTGCCCAGCACTTCTCCGTGGATGAGGTCTGAAGGTCTAAAGATGCGGTGCGCCCGGTCTCCTGGATCTACTCGAAGAGACTCTGAGCGAACCATTTCTTTTTTTTGAGATAAAAGCGACAGCATTCCAGGAGACACGTGGCACTTATCTATACTGCAGCTGCGCCTGAGAAAGAAACAAAGACTTAGAAAGGGGAGAGTATTGAGTTAAGGCAAGCTGTCAGCTGACATCACTTACGAAATGTTTCTGGATCGGATTCCTGGGGTCCCTTGGTGCTGAGATGGTGAGAGTCTCATCCTAATTTGTTCATTTTGCTCATCTGGTTCTTCTCTGGGACTTGGCTCTTCCTCCAGACTTGGGAGTTTCTGGGTTGAAGATAGTTTGTTGCGGACAGGGGGCTCAGGACAAGAGATGTTATCCGAGGGACTGTCCGAGTGAAAGAGGTCATGAGGTGCCTGTGGGTTGTGCTCAATGGTCAGCTGCAGTGGTCTGCTTGTGTTCTGGATTACACGGTTTATCTAGTGGAAAGGACATTTAACATTATGGTCACGTTGACATTTTTGTCTCTTCTCTCTTAAACTTGTGATGTTATAACTGAAGCAGTGGGTAGTTTGAGGCCTACCTCCTCTGGAGAAATATTGCGCACTGGGATGCCGTTAACCTCCAATACTCGATCACCAGTGTGGACAGAGGATAGCAGGTCAGGGCTTAGGACTGATGAGTCCAGCCTGAACAGAATGACAGTGATTGAATAGGTGGGCGAGACGTGAGGGTCAGAATTGTTAATGGCTAAATTCAGAGACTCACTCTGTCACAGTCACAAGAGGACTTTTGTCTTTGCCGAAATCAATGACTACACTCAGGCCTCGTTGTCCGACTGCATGTGGAGGGAAAGAGACCAGCGCCACCATGTGTGGTCTCTTGGTAACTGGAGAAGTTGGCTCCACGTCCGATACAGCACCCTGACAATAGCAGTGACCACTGCAGAGGCAAATCAAAAGATGAATACTATAGTGACTTGAAGGAAGGGGGGGGGAAGAAAAAAAAAAAGGTTTACACAGTGTACTCAGTTTCCTGTGAAAAACTAAGTACACCCTTATTGCTTCAAAAAGAACTAAAATGAAACATCAGGTCCTGCTAATCAAATGCACTTGATTAATCAATCTTCAGCAAATGTAAGCACCTCCATAAAAGCAGAAGTTTGGACAGTTTGCATATCTGGAGCATTCACAATGCTACAGTCTTCCCAAGAGTGCAGAGAACCTCTGTTGCAAGGTCGACTGTGCAATGCTCAGTGAAAATGTAGAAATTTAAGAGCCACATCTCAGAATCCACAGGGCTCAGCATGTTAAAAGGTTAAAGTTCATAACAGTACAGTTTATAAAAAAAACAAAACAAAACAAAACAAAAAACGAACAAGTATGGCTTGTTTGGAAGTGTTGAGAGAAGAACATGGTAGGATAGCTTAGGCTGGCAAAGTGGCATTTGGACAGACCTAAAAGACTTCTGATTTAGCATCCTTTGGCCATAATGCACATACAATGTTTGTAAAAAACAAAAACAAAAACAGAATATCAACACAAACGTCTCAAAACAGCTGTCAAGCACGGTGGTGGAGGGGCGATGATTTGGGCTTATTTAGCAGCCATAGGACCTGGTCACCTGACAGTCATTGAGTCGACTATAAACTTAGGCTTGGCCGAAACTGGGACAGGACAATGATCTCAAGCACTGTGGAAAATCTACAACCGATTGGCTGAAAAGAAACGACTCAATGTGTCCAGTAAAAGTCCAGATCTTACTCTGATAGAAATGTTCTGGTGGGACCTTAAGAGAACTGTGCATAAACAAATCCCTGCTAACCTCAATTAACTAAAGCAATTTTGGAAAGAAATTTTCCAAAATAACATGAGACCGATGAAGTCATACAGAGAACATTTACTTCAACTGCTGCTAAAAGTGGTTTTACAAGCTATTGAATCATGGGATCTACTTAGTATTTCCATAGGACCACCCAGAGTCCCTAACCTTTAACATAACTGTAAATCTGTCAGAAAGAGGTTGTTTCCATTTCACTCATTCATCTCCAGCTTACACATTTGCTAACACACAAGACTTCTTTACATTTTTCCTTTCAGAGTCTTACTTACCAGTAGAGCTTAGAGCGTTCGATAAGCGTGTAGGTGTCTCCATCTCCAATGACCATATCACAGCTCATGCAAGTGAAGCATTCAGGATGATACTTTTGCTCTCCAGCAACCTGTTTATATGCAGGGCAGTAGTGTATGAAAAACATAATACAGTTTTACCAGAACGCATTTATTTGGGCCACTCTGAACTGTGAAACACTCGAGCTGTTTCTGTTCATTCTTGCATAAAGGATGTTTTCAGAGGATATCCTCTAGCTTAGAGTCAAAAGAGAAAATAAATGCTTTCATATCAGGAGGAAACCAAAAGTCGGGAAGGCTTTGAATTTATGAATAATTGGTGGAGCATGCTGAGATTTGGTATTCCATATTCCGTTTCTGAATATTATATAAAACTCTTTTTAACTTGTTAGTCTGAACAGCAGTAAGCTTTGAATGATCAATAAGTGGGATATTTTTAAACTAGTCCAATTGATTTGTTGCTGACAGTTCAGACTGCTTTGGACTAAGTGAGTCAGACAACAGAGAGGGCAGCTAATCAGGCTTTCATCTTATAAGCTTAGAAATCCATGTATGCTAAAGTTTTGTAGCCAAGATTATTAAAAAAAAAAAGTTTAGTGAGGAACTTGTGAATTATTTGTGTTCAGAGGGATAGTTTCATCAGAATCTTTTTTTTTTGGTTAAAATTTTGAGTGATTTCAATATTACCATTATGAGTCCTGTTGCAATGGTCTCCTTGCAACCGTGGCAGTGTCCTCCATAACGGCACCAGTAGTGCTTTTTACAATACAGCTGCCCCTCTCTTTCATAGTACCAGTGAGACAGAATACAGCCACATTCACAACACCTGCAGAGACAAGAGGGAAACGGGAGAATATGGCGTAACAGAGTGAGAAAGTGGAACAAAACCTGGGCAAAAAACAAAAAAAAGAAAAGATTCAGATACGCAGACAAAGTAACATGAGCCTAACCATGGATGGAAGATGTGGGACTTGAAATCCTCACAAAGAGTATCACATTTCAAGGTCTGTGAGACAACAGATTATTGCTTTCTGTTTAGCTCCTTTTTATGAACGCAGTATACGATTCCACTCATACTCTACTCATTTCTTCTCTTATGTTGGTTAACAATATGATCTGGTCACAAAGAGGCATACACCCAAAGGAAATACACTTATCTTTACTTCTATGCTGACATCACCATGACAATCAGCCCGGGGTGACATTAATATTGGTTTTTACAAAAAAGGACTATTCATGCAAAGAGACTAGTCACATGTTTTCACAAAAACAATGTTCCCCATAGAGACACACCCACTCAAGATTGCACAACACAGCTGTTAAAAATTAAAATAGCATGCATTCCTTAAATGCAGAGCACAATGTTCAGTTTCAGGCCTTTAAAGTTTGCAGATTACAGTGAGACCCATCGTTACCCTGCTAAAGCAGAATAATACTATAGTGTGTACGATAAAGGCCCTGCTTCCTTATCTCTCCAACACTGCAGCCGGAGTGGGAGGTGACTTCCTGGGTTGAGTACTGGCCCATGTTTCCTCTCCCCAAACCTCATGCGGTAAATGCTTTGAATCCATTTTTGTAAGAATAGCAAAAGGTTGTGTCATATTGAGAATAAAGCATAATTCCTACAATAGTTTCTTTTAAAGGTTTTCTTCATAATATGTTAAAGTGATCTTAAGTCTTGCAAAACAACTTAAAGCCACGATTCATTCTGCCGTTTTTGTTGTGGTTTTAGTATTTCGTCACAGAAAACTATAGGCAGCTCTTTCCCTTTGTGTTTTTGTTAACAACACCAAACAGCTCGTTTTGTTGTTGCTGATAGAGCAACACATTGCTTCTTCAGTGCGCACACCCTCACATGTGGGATCTCTTTTTTTTCTGACAGCACTGTAGGACGTGCTGCTAGAGACCAAGATTCGCTTCTCCTTCATTGCTAAGGAAATAATTAAGCAATAAAGCCATCAGACCGCTGCAGGTTTATTTTCGACCTCCTGTCTTTGTTACTGTGCTGCAGGCCGCGGATGTGGAACCTTCCAGCTCCACATCTGGTTGCAAGAAAACCTGGAATCAGTTCAGCTGTTTCTACTGCCCGCCCCCTCATCCATCTCTCCACATTTCTCTTTGGTCACCTGAGTGTTTTCCTGTCAATAAAAATCCCCTTTGTTCTCGTGTCTCTAAAGAAGTTATGACGTCAGAACTGAACCTCGGTCAGATGTTAACAATCTCATGACGTTTTCTCCTACCACCGTTTCCTCCGTGTTCTGTACGTTGGTATGTCAGACTTCCTTTAAAAAAAAAAAAGCTCTTAAAAGGATTTTTTTTAAACTGCTTGTGTCACGCTGGATGTTTCACATATTTCTTTATGCTAAATAAAAGACTTTAAATGCTAACTCTTAGGTTTTGGCCTGAGGAACAGGGATGTTTACAAAGTAAACAAATTATAATTTTTTTTGTAACTTGCGAAATGTGCTCCAACATGCTTTTTTGTTATTGTGAACATTAGAGCAAAAACAACCTCCAAAAAAAATAAACCTCAAGTGTTATTTTGTTGGCAGACTTCTGTTTGAGGAAGTATACATGCAGACGTTTAGAAGTTTCCCTATTTATTTTTTCGCTTCCTTTGACTCACTCTTTCATATGCTTCCTCCCCTTTCGCTCACTCTTACGCGTATCTAAAGATTTCAGTTCTTACCGTCCTTTCGTGCCTCGCCGAAACCTCTGGTCCCGTCGTGACATTCTGCCTTGCCAGTTAACCGACAGACAGCTGTCAAACACAGTCCACCCAGTTCAGAAAGGAGCTTGTTAGCAGCATGTGATTGTGAGCGGATCATATACACCTACTCTGCTGTGACTGATGACAGGCGTTGCCTTTCTCTCTCCATGTGTTCAAAGGCTTCCTGTGTGAATATGAGTTCCCTTTCGAATGTGAAGAGAAGCTGTGTGAGAAAAGAGTCTGACCCACTGACACCAGCTGGCCAGTTTCCCCCTGCTGGCTGCTGAGAAAGAGACCAATCCGATAAGAGACGCCCTCCCTCACCCTCCCCTCTCCTGTTATGTCCAGCATGTAGACCTCTGCAAGATATAGTTACACTCTTCTGCAGAGTCTAGCAAGTTTAGGAGAGTTAAACTCACAACCTAAATGAGTGCTTATGTGATAAGTGGTCTGAGACGTGTTTTGTGTGTGTGTTTTGAAATAAGCCCTGTTCCCATCAGTGCAGGCATAATCTCTTTATGAATGCCCCAATTACTGCACTGTCCAGATCCTGCAGTAAAGAACTCCATTCATCACACACACAACGAACAAAGAGGGAGAAATTAGTTAAAGCATAACTGTGGGGAACAGCTCAGAACAGACAAACAAATCCATTGATAGCGTTCAGTATCGACCTCTCAAACCAAAATTATGACCTAATGAGCTTTAAATTTGTTTTGCTGTAGGTTTCCTGCAAACAGTCCTGTCAATTCAGCAACTTCAGACTAGCTGTGCTATATGTCTGCATATGCATTTTTTTTATTTTTTGTTAAATTGTCCAGGCAAATCTGCACTGCAGACAGAAAAGCAGAAACAGGTGTAGATATATGGAGGAGACCCTTCTGTCACAAAACTGATACTGTCATAGATTTATGCCACTTTCAGTTACCGTTTCTCTGTAATTTGCATCCTCGGTTGTTTTTCTCATGCCCGAGTTAGTCATTGCATCTCTGTAAGCTGCATAATGAACAAATTAATCAGCAAAACCTTGTGCGAGTATTGCTCATAACAAATATTTTTACCAGGCTTCAGTGTTGTAAAACTTCCAAGCAGCATGACGCACAGCACTACAAAACTATATCCAGTTGTTCTTGTCCTCTTTTTTTTTTAGACCAAAGAAGCTAGTTTGTGTTAAATGTTGCTTCTTTTGTGATATTTCATGTAAAAGGCAAATACTTACATGAGCTGGGAGTAGAATGATGTTATCTAACAACGCTATAGAAAGTGCTGTTAAGACTTTAGGGTTGCTTCTCGTCACTGGTAAGGAAATAAGTTAAGTATGATTATGCCATCCTAGGGTAGCACGGTACTGCAGTAGTTAACACTGTTAACATAGGAAGAGGGTATCTGGTTTCAACATGCTCGTCATCAGGGACCCTCTTCGATGGAGTTTACACGCTCTCCCTGCGTCAGCATGGATTCTTTCCAGGTATTCCGGTTTCCTTCTACAGTTCAAAGTCACGCATGTTTGGTTAGGTTGTGATTCCAAATTGGCTGAATGTGAATGTGTAGCTCAGCTGTAGAGGGGAGAGGTGGAGCTGGTTCAGGGAGCAGTGCCAAGCGAGCTGAGTGACACACCTGTTGTGCATGAGCTAATCACTGCTGGGAGACGCTGTGCAGTAATTGGCAAAGGTACTGTGTGGACTGTTTGGGAGAAACTAGAGAAGAACACTATAAAGAAGAACGTCCACTGAGCCTGGCTCGACGGCAGGGCGCTGGAAAATAAATTGGTGTGTTTGAACTGAAAAAGCTGTGTTGACTTTCTATGATGACGGAGACTCACAAGTGACTGAGCCTCGTGTCACAGAATATTAGCAGTGCAATAGACTTGGATGGCCAATGCTTACACCTGTCCTAAGACACCAATAGATGTTCCCTAATTCTAGTCACATTTTGAGCTGTACTTTTAGGATACCTATTACTATTTAAACTAAACTGATGTAGTTGCCCCATTGGCTGAAATAACAGTTTCATTTTAAGGTTTTACTAGTAATTGAAAAGCAGCCTAATGCACCTTTAATACCTTGAATCCATTTCTAACCCAAACAAAGAGCAGAAACTTGGCTTTGTATGCACATTGTTCCTACTCAGGTTAGAGTGCAGTGGGATGCCAAAATGGCTTCAAAGCCCCCCTTCATTTGACTTTAAGGCCCAATCAGTTATGTAACCAACATCACTCAAAACCCTTGTCTATAGCCCACAACAATGACTGTCTGCACTGACAATTACTAACTGTTCTGTTGTGACGCTTGACCTGCATTACCAAATTAAGGAGCGCAGACTTTTAAAATAACTTGCCAAGTCTGCAGAGTTGTCACGCTGGCACTTTATCACTAACTGATGTTGACTCGGCAGTACCCAATCTCAATCAGCGCCCAAATATGCACTGCAGCTCTTCATAATAGTTGTCTTTTTGTTAAAGTTTGTACAGCATCAACAACTAATTGTTCACTCTTCATATGAGTCACCACGTACACAAAGCTTCACTGCTGTTCTGCGTTTTTTTTTATACTCCCCTAAGCCACAGTTGTCTGTTTCCTTTCTCAGTACAGCATACCTTGCGGTTGAACCCACCACAGTTCAATATGCTAAAAAACCAACATCTACTTCTAGATGTTGAGCTTCCTCCTCTTGCCAAGTGGTTAAACCCCTCCTTGTTGTTTCATTATAGGGTTTTTTTTTGTACGTGCTAAATTACTCCAGTAGCAATAAAATAATGACACAAAGAAGTCGTCATTGGTCATCTCTTTACTTCGGAGAGCATTGTCAGAGAGTTTACAAAAGTGCATAATTTTCTTCATAGGCCACATAAAAAAAAAGAAACACAGATGTTAAAAATCACACTGAGCTCGAGATGCACATGAGCTCAAATGCAAGACGAGATTCACTCACCCCACTTTTGACCCACTGACGTCACAGCCTGCACTGTGATTCAGCACACATTCAAGGACAATGTAGAAAACAAAGCACTTATACTCATCATAGTAGTAAACGGGTTTAAAAACTGTAAAAACACACACACAGAATGACTAACTCAAATATTTTAGTACTGTAATAATGCACTTGACTTTGTAAAATGAGGCTAAATACAGTTCTCAACATAATTTAAAAAGTCTAGTAAACGTGAGCAGTTTCCCCAACAGTGTTAAAGGAGGTTCATGAACAGAAGGAAAACGCAGTAATCAGTACTCCTCAGATGTCATGTACTCTAGTCATATTACCTCACATTTAGCTTGAATGCTTACCTCAACAGCAAATGTAAAAGCTAAAACTAAGCCCATTCAGAAAGTCAGGACAAATACACCCTCCTAACAATCAAAATATATGCACGCTAACCAATATTTTACATTTATACCATTGAGTGTGATGTGGCTATAAAACAGTGCCATTAAGTTGTGAAATGAGTGGAAGAATCTCACAGGTGGGCCTCAAGTGGTATCTGTGAGAATCCTCAGGCTCCATTACTGATACTACTGAGGCCTGAGTACAGCTCACATGGCCAGAGACTGCTTTTCAAGGATCAAAAGACTACCACTACTGCATAAAATACTGCCTTCATCTTCTCCTGTGACAGCAGCTGTTTGTCTCTGTGTCTGTACACACTACTTGTTTGTCCACTGATGTAAAAGATGCTAACAGTGAATTATCTGCTCGGCCATTCACTCTGCAGACATATCCCAGTTTAACTGGGTAGAAGTGTCGCCCTATATTTCTTTACACATTGCGTCAGCATGCAGACAGGTCTGAAGGAGCTGCCCTGAGGGAGTCCTTGGTGTCAGTCTTAACCCAGAGGATTTGTGCCAATACTTGCATAACGACACAAATGATAATCAACACAGCAAAGACAGACAAAAAGTGATGAAAAGAAATGCTGATTCTTCAATGTAGTGGTTCTCAACCCGATCATCAGGAATTTCTGGGGTTTTCTACCCACGTTATTTTATTTTTGAAACTTTCTTGAGAAATTGACATTTAATAATTTGACCAAAATAAAATGACTTAATTATCCAAAAAAGGGAAAAAAAGTATTTAACAAAGGGAAACAGCAATCTTCACCTGCCGGTGAATCTGATCCGGTTGAGAACCACTGCAACCTTTTATAAAACCCAAGCAAATGGAAATGTAAAAAGCGGGATGTGCTGAAGCTTTAGCTTCTGTGGCAGGTAAGACATTTACAGTGTGGGATCATGCAATAGCACCACTGTTGTTTTAATGAGGTCACTTCCTGTCTTTTGGTCTTTCTCACTTCCTCCTTCGGCCAGCTCCTAAAAAGCAGAACAAAGACAGCGTTATTCTTCACTTTACATGCAGTATGCAGATTGTTTAAATAAGACTTCCGCTGTTCATCCAGACCAACATAAAATGACAACTGTTAAATCCCACTTTATACTAACTCAGAATAGCTTCCAGGACATATTTCCCTTAGTTTATAGGGTCAAATGTTCATTTCCTACACAGACACAGAGTTCCTGCATTTGTGGGTGTTACCAATTGTTGCCAATTTTGAGCATGTCACTTCTGTAGAAAACATTTTTGGATCAGAGGAAACTCTCAGAGGAGTCTGGCAATTTACTCTAGAAGCTACTCTCGGTTTTTTATTAATTGAAAGTCTATCCCATCCCACAAAGATTACAGCCACACACAAAAAACATGACATGACTTTTCTTAAACCCTTAAAATGTATAACTAGAGGGTGAGTTTGATCTCCCAGTTGGTTAAGTCCTTAGCTAGTTTGTAGTCCAGAGCTGGTTTGTAGTTATGTTTGTATTTAGGTTACAAAGTTGCTTGCTTGTAGCAACATCAACATGAAATCTTATCTTGCCTACAACAATGCAGTCTCAGTGTAGCTTCACTGTGATTCTGGAGAGACCAAGTTGTAAACTACAACTTGATTGGTTTGCAGAGGCTTACACCTGCGAAGCAAAAATGTTATTTTTAACTAAAAAGAATAATTCTGGTCAGACTTCAGTGTCGGGTGAAGCAGGTGAGGACGTTGTCCTTGTCCTTCCTCGCATGTAGCACATGGCAGGAGGTCGTCAGCTTCAGATTGCTTTCAAATAATTTGCTGGAAAATGTTCAGTTTGCTTTAGATTAGGTTGCTGCCTGGACAGAGCATGTATGAGCAATGCACAAGCTAACCACCTAGCTATGGATTCAGTGGACCTGTGCTATTCTCACATCAACACAAATTGTTGCATTTGGATATCACAGGACTTTGTACTGGGGAGCTGGCAGGCCAAAGACCATTTAATATCTGGTCTAGTATGCGTGTGAAAATAATTACAGTGTATATTGGGAGGTGCGGAAATCTTTACTTGTGTTTTTTTTTTTTAAATTCCTTTCAAGTTGCAACACATGAAGAAGAACATATCATCGCTATGAGTCCTAAAATGAATGTAAATCACCTCTTCTTACTATATGATAGAAAATCTGTCTGTCCGTATGTTTGTCTCTTTGTCCGCAAACTCCTGCTAGATAATCAGGAGTTGAACAACTAAACATGACACATAGATACATCTCAGGCTCACGAAGGTCTTTATCTATATCGGATATTACAATGTCATCATGTTGCCTTGCAACCATCTAGCAAAGGGCTAAGATGATCCTTTTTAGCCCTTTTGCACCTTATAAAACCTTATAAAAACTTTGTATTATTATTATTTGTCAACACTATTATCTAATCGACAGAAGTGAGGCTAAATATTGTATTGCATAGGAAATGCAGTGATCAGGACTGTTATAATATGTCTATGACTTTTACCTCTGTAGCCCCTGGATCCAAGTAAACCCTGCATGGCTGCATATTTGGCTGCCTTCTGCGCTTTAGCTGAAGGTCATGATAGTAAAACAAACAAACAAACAAACAAACAAACAAACAAACAAACAAACAAACAAACAAACAAACAAACAAACAAACAAAAACAAGAAAACGAGTTTAGATACTTAGTTGTCAGTAGATATTAAAAAAGCATGCATGTTACAATCAGAATTATCCTTGATATATTATATTTCACTAACAAGATAAGCAAAAGTAATATGTTCATCCGATCTGTGTATCTTTGTGTCAATGCTAGACCAACGTTGTTAATTTGGACATGCTTATTCCAGAGGACACAGTGAGTTTTCTTACATTTTTGTCCAGCCCCTGCATACCCTAAAGAACAATAACAGGAAAGATAAAGTCATAACAAACAACTGATACCTTACAATGGACTTTTTAAAACAATCTCAGAATAACACTGCTTTCTGTTTCCTGTTATTCTCAGTTTTGTATGATTTTACTCAAATGTGTATGCTGAGTATTAAAAAGAGGACATATGTGATCAAATCTGTCTCACCTGGATAACTTCCTATACCCAGCCCACCATATCCAGGACCAGCAGCACCTCCTGGAAGAATAAAAACATTACAGCTTTCAAAGCACTTCTTATCTGTGCCATGTTTACAGTGCAGTGCTATGAATTTAGTTGATTTTGATGTTTTGAAATATATTAAAAGCACATTCTCATTATCCTAATGACTATATTTTCATATAAACTGACCTGGTCCCCCACCAGGTAGTCCTCCAACTCCTTGGCCAGTTCCTCCAGGACCTCCTAGCCCTCCTGTACCTCCTGCTACGCTACCTAAACAGATAAATGGGTATGAATGAGAGACAAGTTAACTTTTTAATCAACATGGGGATATAAACAAAGGGCCAAATGAACACTGTTGTACCCAGTGGATTAGAGGCACTTGGGAGAATTTTTTATGTAAAATAAACCATCTTATTTTTATTACCAGTTATTACCAGTATTATTACCAGAGACTACAGATCTTTAGAGAGAACTGACACACCTCAAGTTAGTCACTAATAAAAGTTTTATCTCAGTCAAATTTTCACATGTCTGTTGTCTCTTTATTATAATGTGCTGTGTGCTAAACATTTACTTGACTTTATAAGCTGGAACCTCACCTTGGCCACCACCAGTGACGCCTCCTGTCCCAGTACCAGGAAGAACTCCGACTCCACCTCCTAATGAACAGTGATGTGATTAAATTACATAAATGACAAATAATACAACAATACATATGTTTCCATAGAGCAACGTGAAACAACAAGTTAAACAGAGAAGCAGACTGAGCTGTAGTCCATGTTTATTAAAGGAATAGGATATTTGGTCTTTCAAATAATCATAATGGTCCGTCATACATTACAGTTTGTAACTGTAAAGAGAGCTCCTATGTCTAAGGTTACTTTCTGACAAGACTTTAATGCAACGACAAACACAAAGTGTGAGATACTCCCTCCATAGAATCCCACCACATAGCAAACCAAACCATATGATTCAGTTCCTGTTGCTTTTTGCTGCTGTTTACTCCTATGCATGATTTAATGTGGTGTTGATCCAGACAAAAAGTCAACTTCATGCATTCAGTTGGTTAAATTGGATTAGTTTAAGTGTCTCTCTGAATTAATTTACATTAAGTTTGTGCAAATGGTAGTGCTTTGAATGTAGAGGTTCTGATAAGAAAATATATGAGTTACTATCAAAAGCTTCTAAGTATATCTCAGAATTTTACCTGGTCCGTAGCCAGCTCCACCCAGCGACGAGCCGTAACCTGATTTAGACGGCTTTCTTGTTCCAAGTGTTTGGCCAGGTCCAAAACCACCAGTCCCAGCACCTCCAGGGCCAAAGCCACCAGTCCCAGCACCTCCAGGGCCAAAGCCACCGGTCCCAGCTCCTCCTGGGCCAAAGCCCCCAGTCCCAGCACCTCCAGGGCCAAAGCCCCCAGTCCCAGCACCTCCATGGCCAAAACCAGTCCCAGCACCTCCAGGGCCAAAGCCCCCAGTCCCAGCACCTCCAGGGCCAAAGCCCCCAGTCCCAGCGCCTCCAGGGCCAAAACCACCAGTCCCAGCACCTCCAGGACCAAAACCAGTCCCAGCACCTCCAGGGCCAAAACCACCAGTCCCAGCACCTCCAGGGCCAAAACCAGTCCCAGCACCTCCAGGGCCAAAACCACCAGTCCCAGCACCTCCAGGGCCAAAACCAGTCCCAGCACCTCCTGGTCCAAAACCTCCAGGACCTGTACCCCCAGCTCCACCAGGGCCATATCCTCCCCCTAATCCTCCTCCTGGAAGAAAAGTTAAAATATATTTACACAGTTATAAACCATAAAAATATCTAAAACAACCATTAACCTCCCTACTCCAAACTAAACCCTTACCTGTTCCATAACCAGCTCCTCCATAACCTGGAAGAAACAATGAAAAAAACTTTGATAAAACATCTGTTTGCTGGCTGCATTTCTTATATCATGAAACCTCCATTAGGTATCTCCATTAGTATATGATCTAGCTAATGATCTTATTTATGTAATCCTTGCTTACCAGATTTATAAGGTTTTCTTTTTCCTTGGCCTGCCTGTCCAAATCCTGTTCCTGTTCCAACACCGCCTGGTCCGAACCCTCCAGTTCCAGTGCCAATACCGCCTGGTCTAAACCCTCCAGTTCCTGTGCCAGCCCCACCTGGTCCGAACCCTCCAGTTCCAGTGCCAGCCCCACCGGGTCCAAACCCTCCAGTTCCAGTGCCAGCCCCACCTGGTCCAAACCCTCCAGTTCCAGTGCCAACACCGCCTGGTCCGAACCCTCCAGTTCCAGTGCCAGCTCCACCGGGTCCAAACCCTCCAGTTCCAGTGCCAACACCGCCTGGTCCGAACCCTCCAGTTCCAGTGCCAGCTCCACCGGGTCCAAACCCTCCAGTTCCAGTGCCAACACCGCCTGGTCCAAACCCTCCTGTACCTGAAATTCAGGCATAACTTAACTGGTAACCCTATCACATTTTTAATAAAAGCAAAAATAGTTTTACCAGGCTGTGGTGTACTCTATCTGCAAGTTTTGTGTTTAAAAGTTCTTTTTATTATATTTATACCTGCCTCAGAGAAGAAGCCTCTGAAATAAAAAGCATCATGTTGGTTTTAATTAGAAGTGCCGAGAGTATAAGAGTTGGGTTATTGACATCAATCACAGCTATATGTTTTGCTAATAACAACCTACATTTAGATTTGTGTACTTCCTTTACTCTTAAGAACTTGAAAGAACTGGACTTCTTTAAGTTATTTAAAGAAGTTAATTCAGAACTGAAGAAGCCTCTTGGATGAGAGGTGAAACGTCTTTAAATAGTTAACAAAGTCCAGTCGTCTTCTTTTGAGCTCTTAAAAATACCATGGTGACTGAGAACCTACACAGATGAAGTGCATATTTTATCATAACACACAACAGTGAAGGTATCACCACTTGTTATTTATTGCCTTTCAAACAACAGTATGTACATATGTAATGGCTAGCAGATGGTGATTTTTTTTTAATATATAGACAAAGAACTGACAAAAACACACTTCACAAGTGATTAAGTATAAATTCTCACCATGTCCAAAGCCAGCTCCACCTAGTGAGGATGATCCATAGCCTGTCAACAGAAGTTAACAGCTTGAGTATAGCTTATAAAATATTTTCCTAATCATTTTTAATTTTGTGTCTTTACATCAGCATAATGAAAAGAAGAACTGCAGGATTTTAAACAGGAGACAAACATGCAGCAAATTGTCCCAGCTTGGATTTGGATCAGGGGTCTGCTTTTTAGAGTTCTAGTCCTCTGACCACTCAGCTGTCGGGTTCATATATATAATACTTTATTGAATGTTGTTAGTCATAAATACTTGCTTATTATACCTGATTTAGGTGGTTTTACTACTCCACCAGGTCCATAGCTGCTTGGTCCTGTGCCAGCACCACCTGGTCCTATACCACCTGGCCTTGTTCCAGCACCACCCAGTCCGGTCCCAGCACCTCCGGTCCCAGCACCACCAGGACCAGTGCCACCAGGCACAAGGCCACCTGGTCCATAACCTATTCCACCTGGTCCAGTCCCATAGCCACCAGGTCCAAACCCAGTACCACCAGCTCCTGCTCCATAGCCTAAAAATCAAATATTTTAAATGTTTAGTTTCAGTTTTCTCTATACTTCCTTTATGTAGGTTTACTCTGTGTGTTCACTTCATTATACTTTTAGGTGGTTTTCCAGTGCCGGTGCCCAGTCCTGGACCTGTGCCATATCTAGAACCTGGTTAACAGAGCATTTAAAACTGTTAATACTAATAGTTATAAACTATTTAAATTAGATATTTTTGATCAATGTAAACTCACCGTCAGGTCTAACACCTCCCCCAGGGCCTACTCCTGTTCCTCCTGCTCCTACGCCACCATAGCGTCCAGGTCCAGTTCCATATCCACCAGGCCCAGTACCATATCCACCTGGACCGGTTCCATAACCTCCAGGCCCTGTGCCATAACCTCCTGGACCAGTGCCATATCCACCGGGGCCAACCCCACCTTGGCCCCCTGCTCCAAGAGTCCCATATGCTGATGGAAAGAATAAACACCCTGAATGGACTGTGTAGCATCTCTCATAGCTAAAGATTAAACAAAAAGTCTTAATTTAAAAAAGGAGAACATAATTTCTCAGTTGCTAAACCTTTGCCTGGTTTTGTTACTCCAGCTCCAGTAGGGTAACGAATGCCTGTGAGTGAAAAACAAAAATATTCTCAAATGTGGGTTGTTAAATTTGCTGGGATTTAAATGTTAAAGATAGTTTTAGGTAGCGCACCTCCCCCTGGTAAAACTCCAGTACCATAGCCTGTAATAGAAAAATGTGTGAAGTGCATAAACTGGGAATCATTATGTTATTGTATTATAGAAATTTAAGTTTAGCGTGGATACACAAACATTTGAGGACCAAAACATGAGTGCAGCTCACCTCCTGTTCCTACTGCACCAGGCCCACCAGCCCCAGGTACCAAACCACCTCCTCCAGGACCTCCACCCACTGCTCCAGGACCTCTTCCTGCAGATCCAGGACCACTTCCCACTCCTACTCCCACTCCTCCCTGTCCACCACTTGTGCCTCCTGCTATAGGTTTATAAGCTATAGTTTAAAAATATGAAGACATATTAGATGTTTTCCTTCAGTGTGTGGTGTTTTTTTTTATACTTCATGACTGTTTGTTGTAATATTTGTTAGTCATGGCAAGTTGCACACACTGTCAAGAAGTTGGATAGTTAGTTAAAAGGCACAAGTGGCACCTTTAGGTGGTTTTGGTGTTGCTCCAACTGCACCTCCTGAACCAACACCTGTTCCAGTAGCAGGGCTGCCTTCTCTTCCTGTTGATACACCACCTGAAACACTTCCTGCAACTCCTGCACTGGTGGGACCCCTTCCTACTCCTCCCTGTCCACCTGTACCCGCTGTACCACCCCTGTATCCATCAGGGCCTCCTTCTCCATCACCTTCACCTGGTGTGTCACCTCTGGGGACACCTGCAGACAGAACATAGATGGTGTGCGGATGAGTGTTCACCACCATTGCAGCTGATATGACCTTTCTCTTTACAGTCTTTATTCAAAATGGTAGCTATTTTTCCTTTTAGTCTCACTTCTAGTCTTTTCCTATTGCTAATCTTATGATTTGAATCTGTGATCAGTATAAGTAAGTAATCCCTAAACTTAATTTGTAATTGATTATTTTTATCCTGTTTTAATCACCTGGGGGTTTGAGGGGTTTAACTCCAGTCAGATCACCACCAGAACCTGTAAAAGGCCAGATTTGAGAAATAATATTAATTTGTGAATAACTTTGCAAGAAACACATCAAAGAAATGCTGTGCACTGCATCTTGCTTTCATACATCTCACCTGTAGGGGGAAGTCCTGTCCCACCTGAATTTTAAAGAGAAATGTTCAAGAGAGTTGCCAGTGTAAATATGACACAGCAGTGTTTGCTGATATCTTTGTATCTTTCAGAAATCTGCAAGCCACATATAGGCCTACTTACCAACACCTGCACCAGCGGTTTGAAACCAGAAACACTGGTAAGTAAAATCCTGACAGCACTTATTTAAACTTTAGCAGTTTATGGAGGTTTACATACCACTTGGTTGCGCAGCTCCACCAACGACTGTAACAACAGCAGTACAGATTTATTTGTAAAAGCATAAATCATAAAAAGTTAAGCAACATTTGTTTCAATTTGCAGCTGTTAACTGGTGTCAGTCTGCCATGCAGTATTCTCTGGTACTCTCAGGTAAACCAGTGACAGCCGTGACAGCATTTCAGTGGAGAAATAACACGAGCCACATCAAAAAGGAGTCAGTGTGTCACTGCATGCTCAGTTTTATATTCAAATGCACATGCTTTTTCAATCTCTATAGTCAAGTACTGTTTAGAATGAGATCTGCTTTCCTTCAAATAAGATCTCAGTGTTAATTATTTTTACTAACTTACCAGGTGTCACGCCTGTGGATCCTGTGGAATGTAGGAAGAAAGCTATTAGTTTAACTGTTATAAATTCAAAGAAGAGAAGTGGACTTCCTGTTGCCTCACAGATGTTGGATGCTTTGCAGTTAGAATATATTTCGATGTCCCCTAAAATGTCACCAGTGTTTTAACTCTAATCTTCGTGACCATTAGATTTTGCTCAGTAAATAAAGATCTCCCATCAGGAAATTGTATTGGCACTTTACTGACCTGTAATCACACACCCCTAATGCCTCGTAACACTTAATAGAACACAAAGATATTTATTGCTTGCTGTAATCAGTTCATTCAAGTTTTTGGATTTTGAGAGTTGTCATCTGCTGCAGGTTTGGTAGGTGTGAAAATACTGCAGCCAGTTTACACTGAAGAATATCAATAATAAAACATGAAATAAAGAAAAGAACTTAATTTGCTATTGCACACATACACTGGGTGTGTCACGTAAGACCATCAACAAAGCAATGGTGTACAAATACAAAACAAAATGTGCACTAAAGCAAAGTAAGGGGCACGATTTTATATGTAGACAATATTATCTTAAGTATAAAGTACATTATTTACCACATCGCACTCAGATTACTATAGAATGAATATATTTATCTCTTCTGTCTTTCTGTCCGTAAACATGATGGCTCAGTGTAGAGTGGGGTTATTTTAACCATCCATTAAAATTTGGCTTGCATCCACCAAGATCTTAAAAATCAACTCAGTGATTTATTGGTTGAAAAAAGCTGTATGACTTAAAAACCATAACTCTTAGAAGTGTGGTGCCTATTGTCAACATATAGAGTACCATATAAAGATTTAAAATATCATCTCACATTTGACCTCTGACCTCTCATTCAGTTTCAATAGGTTGATCAGAAACTCAAAGTGACTGTAAAGCTATAAAGAGGTATTTAAAACAGTGATTCTTACTGCCATCGTTTGTACTGACAGCATGTGAGCATATAGGGATGATACATGGGGATTGTAAATGTCATGTTATTTTGGACCTCTGAGCTCCTTTTAAACTTCAATTACGGTCAATCTTTCATAAAATGTCTTTTATCTTTAAAACTATGCTTTCTACTGCTGTTTGTTTGCATTGGCAATATTTAGGGCATATTCCAAGTTTTATATTTTACATCTTCTTTTCTTTCAAGTTGACCCCAAACTTTTTTTTTATCTTTCAAGAAAGTATTTTCAGAGTTTCTGCAATCAAAGTTAACATTGGATACCCTTACCTGATTTTTACTGCACTACAAACATCTTACAGTACATTTAAAAAGAATTTAAAAAGCAAAATAGATATCTACATTATACAATGCAGTTCCCTCAAAAGTAAATGCTGCGCTGGCTTGGTGGACATTTGCTCTCATGGAGTGCTTGTTGTTTTAGATCTACTAGTCTGTAATATTATTTATTTGCTGATTAGTAACTGGATGAAATTTGTTGGAGAAAAGATTAAAAATGTTTTAGTAATGGTTGAATATGTTAGTCAAAATCTGAATTTGTGGCAACCATGTTGTATGGTAAATGGTAAATGGCCTGTATTTATATAGCGCTTTACTAGTCCCTAAGGACCCCAAAGCGCTTTACATATCCAGTCATCCACCCATTCACACAGACATTCACACACTGGTGATGGCAAGCTACGTTGTAGCCACAGCCACCCTGGGGCGCACTGACAGAGGCGAGGCTGCCGGACACTGGCGCCACCGGGCCCTCTGACCACCACCAGTAGGCAACAGGTGAAGTGTCTTGCCCAAGGACACAACGACCAAGACTGTCCAAGCTGGGGCTCGAACCGGCATCCTTCCGATTACAAGGTGAACTCCCAACTCTTGAGCCACGATCGCCCATGTATACTTCAAATGGCCACATGGTGGCACTGTCCACCCCCAAATGTAAGAAATCCAGCTCTTTTGATTCACAACAAATGTAGCTGAAATCTGTATAATGACTTGAACAGGAAAGCAGTGAAAGACAAAGACACAGCTACTGATGCACAGAAATGGATAAATACAGAATCTCTGACCTGGAAGTGTTGTCCCGTTGATTCCTGTTATATACAGATAGATTAAATAACATAAATTGAAGTAATACTGCTTAGATGACAGAAAGTTTCAACTAATATACAACTTTTAAACTAATACTGGTATTTCTGAAACACGTGGTTCAACCAGTAACTAAGTAATTATGATATGCATATATCTATATCTCTGTAGCATGAATGGCCAAAAATACCTGGCTTGGGTCCAATGATGGGGATTCCTGTTCCACCTAGACGATCTCTGTCACTCCCTGTACCTGCTGGTCTGCCACCGACACCGGTACCTCCTGTTTTAATAATTATGTAGGAATCTTTTCACATCTGAAAACTTATTTCGAACAAATATTTACAAATTAAGGTTTCTTTTTGTTGCTGTTTGTTTTTTTGTGTTGCTTCTTTGTTTGTGCACCATCTTCAGCAACCATCAGAATTCCTGACCTGATTGATTGTGAGAATTGTCATATGCACAAAAGTCTGTGGATGATTTCAACATAAGAAAATGTTCTCAAGAATCCAGAGAGTTTCACACACCCTCTCCACCAGGACTTCCAGACCCCTCTATCACAGTGTAAATATCATCACCTGAAACAAGGACAGAATAATAAAAGGACTGAGATTAGAAACTAGCACTCCATGTAATGTCTGGAATGATTAGTAATATAAATTTAAATAGTCAAATAAAACGTGTTTGCATATTGATTGTGTGTGTTTACTCTAACACTGCACAGATACCTTCTGTTGCCGGGGTTGGTGTGCCTCTTGTGTCTTCAAGTCTTCCTCCTGATCCAGCAATAGACAATTGAACTCGTAAATTGTGAAAATGATAGTTAACTGTAATATGATTTTTTTTAATTTTATCCTTAGCACAGAGGCTCACCACTTGGTCTGGTTGTTGTCTGGTTGGTGCCAGTGGTGGTTCCATTCGCTGAAACGCCAGGGCCGGTCCCTGTTCCTGCTACTGTAGTGCTGGTTCCAGTTCCTGTCCCAGGTACAACTCCACCAGGTTGCCCTACAGATTATAAAAGAGGTAAATTCAAAAGAGGTGCTTAAAAAGTTTATTTATTATTTTCCACTTGACTTGTCAGACTACACCTTACCAAACTTTGCAGCTTTAGATCCAGCCGTGCCGTAGCCTGAGGATCACAACAAATCAAATGTGGTTAAAAAAAAGAGAGTAAAAAACATAATTTTAAGTAAACATTAGAAACAACAGGAATAGTGAGTGTGTAGCTTGTTGTATATTACTTTTCCTGAATGGAATGATTTTTTTTGTACCTAATTTTCCTTGCTAACTTTGAAACAAACAAACAAAAAGAAATGAGCAACTAATATTTTAGTTTTTAATAACCCTCGGAGCACTCCAAGTACTCCACCTGTGCCAGCTCCACCTGGGCCTTCATCAAAATCATATGAAGATATTTTCACCATTATTCACAAAGTAAGAGAATTCAGTTTGAAAAAAAAAAAACATTCATACCATATTTAGCAGGTTTTAATCCAGGTCCATAACCTGCAAATACACATAAAAAGTTTCATTTTAAAGATTCTAAAGCGCTACAATCAGAATTGTCTAGCAAAATTATCATTGCTTCCTAAACCTGGTCCAAATCCAGTCCCTGGTCCTAGACCATAACCTCCACCTGGTCCATAGCCTGTGCCAACTCCAGGCCCATAACCACCAGGTCCATATCCTCTTCCAGTCCCTGGGCCCGTGCCACCACCAGGAAGACCTAGGAAGGTTCAAAAGTGTGTGAGTAGTTTATCTATAACAAAAGCTTAAAATATCTTTAAAAAGAAAAACAATTTCTAACCATGGAAATATTTTAAATATTGATGCTGTTTAAAAATTTATATCAAAAATGATTTAATTCTAATTGACTGATTATAATTCCTACCAAAATCTGATGTAAGAAACTTAAAATTATTGCCTTCATTTAATTATAAAATTACATTATATTTTGAACTCTTCCTGTGTTAATGCTCATGTATATTACATTAGTTTGCACTATATTTAGACTTGGGTCCCTCTGCATATCCTGTGAGATAAGCACGAGGGGACAAATCCTTTAAAGCTAAGTGTATCATATTTAGAACTATAAGACAGGCGTTTCATGTCTGTACCTCCAGCACTGCCTGGTCCAAATCCGCCTGGTCCAACTCCTGTCACAACACCAGACCCCGGTATACCACCTGCCCCGAGTCCTAGCCCCGGTCCACCACCTGTTGACACTCCACCTTGTCCAGGAACCCCTACTCCAACTCCAAGCCCAGAACTAGGCCCGGTTCCTCCTCCAAGGCCTCCTGCACCAAGGGCACCTCCAGTACCTCCAGGAACACCTGCAGAGAGCAGGATTTTATGAGAAAACAAAAACTTGTCAGATCCACAGACTTGTCAGATGTCAAAACTAAAGGTGTGATTAGTAACATTCATTAGAAGTACATAGTTGTGTGAGTTCAGGTGGATATTCTGATATTCTCTATACATATATTTTATGAAATTGCAAATTTACTGCATCAATGTCATCAGACATTTAGTAGGTTGTTTCTTACCATATTTGCGCGCTTTGGCTCCAGCATAACCTGCAAACGCATCAGCATTAGTTTTATATTAGCCAGTGGACCTATTTTAATTCTGACATGGCTCCTTATTTCTCTTCTATCATACCTCCAGGTCCATAGCCAGCACCACCGGGTACAACTCCACCTGGGCCATAGCCAGCACCACCGGGCCCAACTCCACCTGGGCCATAGCCAGTACCAACTCCACCTGGTCCAACGCTGCCTGGACCGTAGCCAGTGCCAACTCCACCTGGTCCAAGTCCACCTGGGCCATAGCCAGTGCCAACTCCACCTGGTCCAACTCCACCTGGGCCATAGCTAGTTCCAACTCCACCTGGTCCAAGTCCACCTGGGCCATAGCCAGTGCCAACTCCACCTGGCCCAACTCCACCTGGGCCATAGCCAGTGCCAACTCCACCTGGCCCAACTCCACCTGGGCCATAGCCAGTGCCAACGCCGCCTGGGCCAACGCCGCCTGGGCCAACGCCGCCTGGGCCAACGCCGCCTGGGCCATAACCAGTTCCAGCACCACCTGGCCTTAGTCCTCCAGTACCTGTTCCTGGACCTCCAAGAGCCCCACTTAACATGCCTTTCAGGAGAAAATTGTTAATTTTTAGCTACTTTGATTTATTTTGATGAATAATCTATAATAAATAGAGAAGTTATGTCTTACCATATTTACGAGCTTTGGCACTGGCATCATACCCTGAAATAAAATTATAGTATTTATGTATATTGTATGTCTTTGATAATGTCATAGATTTGGTTTCATAACTGCACATTCTCAAGTTAGTGTTGATAGTAGTGTACAATATAGTTTATGTATATTTTAATATTTAATATGAGATTTTAATATAGTGATTCATAATTACCCCCAGGTCCCACTCCTACTGACCCAGTGCCAGTACCACCTGCACCATAGCCAAGACCCCCTGGTCCAGTGCCAGTACCACCTGGACCATAGCCAAGACCACCTGTTCCAGTGCCAGTACCACCTGGACCATAGCCAAGACCACCTGGTCTGGTGCCAGTACCACTGGGACCAAAACCAACTCCAGAGCCAGGTCTCACACCTCCAAGGCCTCCAGATGTGCCAGTACCTGAGCCGCCTGGACCAAAACCATAGCCACCACCTGCCCCTCCTGTTCCAATTCCAGAACCAGGCCCTCCTGCAGTCCCGACACCTCCACCACCTGGAGAAATTTAAGGCACTTCGAGTGTTGCAAACAACACATATTCATCATGTAATTTGGGTATTTTACAGAAATGAAGAAACGTGTCTCACCATATTTGCGTGCTTTGGCTGAACCTGGGCCATAACCTGTGGCCATATCAGAATACAAAGTTACCAAACCACAAAAGGACCCATTAAACCCCAATAAACATATTTAATTTCAAATCTTGTTTGTTGAAGAATTTTCAGAATTTATAAATAACATCTATGAATAGAAGATTTCTGAATGGATGCATGATGTAACTTTGACAGGAGTATGGAATTACCTAAGCCTGGTATGCCACCACCTACTCCAGGGACACCTCCAGTTCCAACTCCACCTCCAAATCCAGGGACACCTCCAGTTCCAACTCCGACTCCAAATCCAGGTCCAGTTCCTGTTCCAACTCCACCTCCAAATCCAGGTCCCCCTCCTGTTCCAACTCCACCTCCTGTTCCAATACCGCCACCTGTTCCAACTCCGCCTCCAAATCCAGGTCCGCCTCCTGTGCCAACTCCACCACCTAACCCAGGTGAGACTCCCCCTCCAGGAACTCTTCCAACCCCACCCCCAAAAGTGCCTCCTTGACCAAGCGCGCCTCCAGCTCCACCTCCATAAATACAAATTTAAACAAAGTATTTTTCTATTAGACCACAATTATTCAGTTACTTTTGCATTATTGATGTTGAAAATGAGGCTTACACCTCAACTGTGGTCTGTACCGTATTTAGCTGCAGCTTTGGCTGGATTCTTCTTGGATTTTCCCACTCCTGCAAATAAAATAAAAAAAGTTGAATTTTTCCTTTCCTTTTTGTCCTGCTGGCCTGTAGCGCTACATGCTGGATCTTCTTCATGTCTCTGCTTCTCTTACCTGTTTTTGGTGATATGAGGGGATAACCACGAAAAATCCCAGGCAATGGCTGTCCTCGCCCATCTAAGGTGAGAGATAGACTTTACACAGAAGCCCTTTAAGGTTCTAACTTGCTGCCATTCACTAATATTTTTTTAAGGTTGTAATATTTAAAAGCTAATTAATGCACAACAGTTGTACTTGTAATATCACACAGCTTTTAGGTTTAGGCTTTATGATGCTTACTGCCTGCACCTCCCGGTCCAGTGCCACCCTGACCAAGTACTCCAGCTCCTGCAGGGAACAAGGCAACGTGTTTTTTTTTTTTGAAGATGAGATTTTACAGTATTCACAAAGTTCATGTACATACCACTCTGAGTTCCTAGTCCAGTTCCTGTAGCCACTCCAGGGAGAACACCACGGCCTCCAAACCCTGATCAGAGAAGACGGGATAACACTTGCAACCTCTTCTGTAAACAAAATCTCTTATACTGATATATTGTTTATTTTATCGTACCATCGTGCATTTATTTATCATATGTTTGATATGTTTCAACATACCTTGGCCTGGGACAAATCCACCTTGATAGAGTCCAGGCACGCCAATGCCTGTGTGACATCATATTAACGCAATACCCCACCGCCACCCAAAAAAATCAGTGTTTCTGGTTTAAATTTAGAACTGCAAAGCCTTTTGCATTCGTGTTTTTGTGTTGTGATAAGTTTACCTGGGACTTGCTTTGATGCTTTTCCACCACTCTTTACCCCAGGTCCTCCTCCAGTGGTACCAGTCTGTGGCAATGTTGGAACTGAAAGAGGAAAAATGTTTTCTATAGACAAAATTTTCATCAACTTTAAAAAGTAAGACACAAACTACTTGAAAATTCAGAATAGTATGTTTTACAAATAGCGGGAAATGCGGCATGCACTGTTTAAATATCAATTTATTATTACGATTTAATCACAAAAGCTTTCTTTCTATTGTTGAGGAAATGTATGTATATTATATACCTCCCCCAGGCCCAACTCCTGCACCACCGGGGCCAAATCCTGTTCCACCAGGCCCAAGTCCTGCACCACCAGGGCCAAATCCTGTTCCACCGGGGCCAAGTCCTGTTCCACCAGGCCCAAGTCCTGCACCACCGGGGCCAAATCCTGTTCCACCAGGCCCAACTCCTGTACCACCAGGGCCAAATCCTGTTCCACCAGGCCCAAGTCCTGCACCACCAGGGCCAAATCCTGTTCCACCCGGTCCAACACCTGCACCACCAGGGCCAAATCCTGTTCCACCAGGCCCAACTCCTGTACCACCAGGGCCAAATCCTGCACCACCAGGGCCAAATCCTGTTCCACCTGGCCCAACCCCTGCACCACCTGGTCCAAATCCTGTTCCACCCGGCCCAAATCCTGTTCCACCCGGCCCAACCCCTGCACCTCCAGGCCCAAATCCTGTTCCTCCAAGTGTTGTCCCAACTCCACCTAAGATGAAAAAGAAAGATATGATATCATAGGTCAGTCATATAGTATCATCTAATATTAATTCATAAACATATAGTACCTACCTGTTTTAGGAGGTTTGGGACCAGTTCCACCAATTCCTGGGTATTGAACTCCTCCACCTGGTCCATAACCACCTCCATATCCACCTGTGTTAGACCAGAGTGTTATTTGCTACATATGCATCCTTAAAGGCAAGCAGTTTATATTTATGTTTACCACACATTTATGGTAAATGGAAACTTAAGAAGATTAAATAAATCATATTTCAGCCATTTCCAACGCTTTGTGTGGTATGTACAGTATGCCTATGGTATTTGGATCACAGAGATCCAGCATGTATAAAGGTAAGTATTTAGCTGATATACATGCAAGAGCCACGCTGATACAGACATATGAAATCTGCTGACCTCCAGGTGTGTAACCTGTTCCAGCTCCAAGTCCTCCACCAGTCCCAGTACCTCCTGCTCCAAGGCCTCCAAACCCTGGTGAAAAAACGTAAAGAAGGAGCACTTAGTACTACCTAAATTTCCAAACACAAATTAAATCATACACTAACTAATTTTGTGCAACTTGATGTACTTTTTGTACTATTACACATTTATGTCTGCTCAAGACAAAACTACAGTTTTTAGAGTCATAATCTCTAAAACCTCTTAAACTTCCGGCTTTAACAGTAACTGAATCAATTACAGCTGGTCAAAGAGAGGAATCAAAAGCCTCTAAAGAGATATGAATGAAATTAAAACATGTAGCATAAATAAAATTCTGCAACTTCCCGTTAAAACAGGTGCTGCTGTTCATGCTTCGTATACAAATTAGGTCATTTCGAGCTTCACACAAGAACTTTTTTCTTTGAAATATAATTTAATTGTCATTGTGTTCGTTTGCATAATTTTGGCTTGCAATGGTTTCCATTTTTGGAACTTACTTTTATTCATAATGCATGCCTTCTATTGCTTGCCTATGTTTACATGTACCTCCTCAGAGTGGAACATGCAAACACACACACACACACACACACACACACACACACACACACGCACATACTTAGTGTACATAAACATGCAGTGAGGATGAAAAATGTGTTCACTGAGATGGCCAGACGTCAGTAAACTGGAAAATATGATATGTGAATCTGTTTCCTTTGCTTACACTTACCTGGACTTGGTTTGTTTACGCTTTCTAAATAAAGGCACAATAGATGGATTTCAAAATGTTACACAAAGCCTATGTTAACGTCTAGGATTAGTTTGGATATTGTCACTTCCATGATTTGGGGGATTGAAAACAGAATGGACTGAAATTCCAAAACATATCAGTCTTTCTGACTCATGTAATGACTTTTTTCCTTCATTGGGAGTCTGCCAAGCCTAATGGATCAGCCTTTATCGCTGTATGTGTCTGTACTGATCAGGCTGGGTCCCCACCAACAGTAAACTAGAAGACAGAAGATATGAAATGAAGGTACATCGATGCTGTTCTTATCCTGCTCCCTGGAATTAACCAGAGGCTGAACACAGATCCCCGAACTTTAACATGTACTATGTAGAGATGGCACGATACCACTTTTTTATGTCCGATACCGATACGTAAAATAGCAGATTGCATTATTAATACTTGATTTTTTTTTCACGAGTAATCTCTTTGTGAAGTTAATGTATTAATTTATGTTTTATATTATTTATCAAATATGCCTGTCACTTGTTGCTGAGACACACTGTTGTGCTGAAAATCTACAATTTATGATATGCTACCTGTACCCTCCCCCCCCCCAAAAAAAAAAAAAAAAAAAATCATGATGAATATGCCTTGAGTGCCGGTTCCAAAACCTCCTGGACCAACTCCTCCAGGCCCAGCTCCGTAACCACCAGGACCAACACCACCTGCTCCAAAACCACCCGTCCCGACTCCGCCTGGTCCTAGTCCTGTTCCACCAGTACCATAGCCGCCTCCTATTTAAATAAAGGAGAAATCACCTTGAGCTCTTAGAGCCATCAGAGTGATCTATAAGTTGACTTTTTGTTGCATAAATTTCATGACATTTGAAGATTTATTGAAAAAACAAACAAACATATTACCTGTTTTTGGAGGCTTGACACCTTTAAGAAGAAAGTAATCAGGACAGTTAGGTGAAAAGTAACAGAAGGAAAAACTTTGCTCTTTGCAGATAATTAAATCAATCAATAAATCAAGAAGTAAACAAAATATCTCACGACTATATTTGTCTTACCAGTCCCAACGCCTCCAGGTCCCAGTCCTCCAGGACCAAAGCTGCTGGGCCTAAAACCTCCTGGTCCCACTCCTCCTGGTCCCAGACCCGGTCCAACTCCACCTGGTCCCACTCCACCTGGTCCCACTCCTGGGCCTACACCACCTGGCCTTTGACCCCCATAGCCCCCTGAGGAATAGAGTGATTGTGAGTTGAAAGCACAGAAAGATTGATGTAGATGACATGTGTATGTAGAAAGCTGAAAAGCAGCCAAACATCATAGGCAAATTTATGGCCAGATTTTGTTCTTGTTGTTGAACGCAACATGAGGAATTCATTATTGGTGAGACATGAAAACATAGCGTGGCGTTTAAAGCTTTTTCATGGCTTGTAACCTGGAACTCCTCCAGTAACTGATTTCATTTAAACAGAAGGTATAGAACATTTGAAAAATGGTGCTTGTGTAATTGACGATAAATCTTAAATCTTTAGCTATTTTTATGAGAACAACTGCATCTGAAAGGAATGCTGATTACCTGTAGCGGTCCAAGGATAACTTGAAACATGTCAGCCAGTGTTTCTGTGCAGCTGCAGTCAGGTTCAGTAAAACTTGGGGAGAAACTCTCAAACCTACCTCCACCAGCTCCTGGTCCAAAGCCTCCTAGAGCAGTACCAGTGCCTCCTGATCCACCTCCTCCAGGCTGAAATCCTGTCCCAATGCCTCCTGGTCCAAATCCGGTTCCAGCTCCTGGCCCGACTCCTCCAGTCGCACCTCCAGCAGGTACATATACCCCTGTTCACAGTGTGCAAAAGCAATGTGTTTAATATTGTAGGTTTTTCTGTGCCTGTAGAAATATTCTGCTATAAAAAAACAGTGGGTATTATTGATAAAATAAAGTTGCACAGTTCTTTTTATATGAGCAGACAAAGCCATTTACATCACCTTACAAACACAGCAATTTATTGGTGACCATGTTTCGGGCTCCTGACAGAATTTGTGGAATTTGTGAGTCATCTGTCGGCGCTAATAGGGCATAATTTTCACCTCTTTGCAGGATGTAACCCATTTAATTTGCCTAAACACCAAGGATTACATTTAACAAATAGAATCTAATGCCACACAAGCAGGGAGATGATGAAAAGTGTGGAAAGCGTGTACGTGTGCGCTTGTCCGCAACGATTATCATCTCTTTGCTCCATATCCGAGTTTCTCTGCAGCCAATAACAAACGCTGTTTCATACAAATGGCATGCTTCGGTCACAATTCTCACACTTTTTTGCACCTATGTTGTTTTCAAATCACAACAATCAAAAATAGAACCAGGGAGCGTGAACAACTATAAAAGGAAAGGCTTTCTAAGGTCCCACAGTCCAGATGTGTAAAGGTCTGTAGGGATTCCTAAAGAATGTGGGTTACTGATCTCATAGTGTTGCCATGTACAGCACATTTCCAACACAGTAAATAACTTAACTGTTCGGTCATTCAGCTCTGCCGGCTAGATTGTTCTGGACAGGCTTGCCAAAAGGCTTTTGTTGTTTTTGGAGGAATTTTTATTGGAATTAAACATTGGACAGGACAGGTATGCTCTCAAATTCACCAGAGATTTGGTCACTGTTTGGAAAGGGATTTTTCTTCAGGGTCATTAATAACTCATTAGTGAAGTAATAATGCCTGCCACATTTAATTGCTAAGTCCATATACAAATATTACTGTTTTAGGCCATGCTAGCCTAACTGCGGGAACCCCAGAGGACAAATTCTGCTGAATTTGGTGATTATTTCCTTTATTACAATCAACAGGTTTACATCTGAGCTTCAGATTAAAACTGGTCTTTCATTGTTTTGGATGTTCTTCAATGCACTTTGGTGAGCTGGTTGTTTTTGCAAGTTTTATTCCCATCACCGGGTTTCAATTAGTTCAATATCTTGTTTTATAGCACCCAACAACTTGGATTAATTTGCAAGGAGTTATAACTTCACAGAGTCTGAACTTCAGTTTTGTTATTTTAAAGCTCAGAAAAAGTCACAGTATGTCTGATGGCTCACTTAACATCCAAATCCAGTGATCATATTTCACTCAAGGCAGGAAAACCTTTTGTCATGTAATCCTCTTTTCACTTCTCATTTCCTGCCATCGCAACACTGACTCTTATCTAATTTAGAAAGACAAAAACTTAAGTAACACTTCCTGTATCCAGCAGCTTAATTGTGCGCTCTCTATATGCTGGCCTTTTTTTGTCACTGAAGTCATCACGCAATGCAGACTTCAGGAGGTAGGTGGTCCTATCAGATAAAGGCAAAAAAGCAATCTGGCATTCTTACCTTATTTTTGGCTTCTGCTTCTAAAACTCACACAGTTTAACTTTTGCTGTACCCTATAAAGTCTGTGCTGAGGTTTTCAATTTATTTTTGGCTTGAGGTACCATTTTAAAGAATGCAGATGTTGAGATCCCAAGCAAGACCAAAACAAAGAAGCTAAACAGCAGATACCATCTCCTTGCTTTCCAGTGATCGTGCAGTGGTTCAGCCTGACCTCGAGTGAATGCAAATTACACAACAGTCTAGAACAGCTCTTAAACCAGCGGATGTCTCGTCTAACAAGACAGGAAGAGTTGAGGGGGAACCTCTTCAGATCAGCCGGCTCAAAGCTTAAACAGACAAGACAATGAAAAGGCATCTTGGAGGGATGAGGTCTGGAGCACACAGTTTGAATTAAACCTTTTAATACGGTGCAACACCTCATTAAAAGCTTTAAGTATAACCCTGTTGTCCAGACCTCATGCCTCAGGAGCTGACTGTGAGAAAATGAATACACCTGGGCTTTGAGAAGTTATTTGTCTAAAGTGTGTCATCCTTAATTTACGCGTTCACCTGCTTCAGCACTTTCTTCCAGACAGATGAGGGGGGAGGAAACTAGCATTTGGAAAGTTAAAGCAGCAATATCTTAGAATCACTCAACAAAGCATTGTCTTCTTGATTTATTGTTAAGAAAAAAATGCACTTTTTATGAACATATAAGGCATGTTGACTGCAAGGTCAATGTAGTATTTTCAGAAGGCTGCAAATGAATTTGACTAAGAAAACCATTTTTAGACTTTAAGTTCTTCAGAGTTGAGATGGGACAGGCTGCAGACATGTTGGTAATGATGCTACACTCATGGTGCTAAGAAATAGCTTCTTCAGTCAAGTAAATTTAGCTCTGTAGTAGATTTTTGGACATTGAATACAATGTGCTTTCACTGAGGAAATCGATGGTATAATAATAGAATAATTGTTAGCGGCCAGTTTATAAATGCAAAACCTCTCACAGATCTCATAGAACATAGACAAACAAAGAAAAAAAAGAGCTGTCCATGAATTTCTCTTTTACAAATGCTAAAGAAACTTTATGTGACACCTGATCTCTACTGGGTGCCACACACATGCAGTAAAGGGGACCCACCTCCTTGCAGCGAGGGTTTCCACAGAGCCAGGAGAAGGACTCCATGCAGGTATGTGGCCACCGTCCCTCTTGCCATCCTGCTCCAAAATGTCCCTCTCCTCTCCCAACTTGCAGGTTTTATCCCCAGCAAGCCTATCAGGGCTTACCGAGGCCTTCAGAAAGAAGGAGGGAAAATGAGTGTGAGCATAAAAAAAGAGGGGGGGGGGGGGATGCAAAACAGGACAGTGTGTAATTGGCTAAAGACAGAGAAAGAGAGCGATAGACAAGGAAAGAAGGGGAGAGGGAGAGAAAACACACTGGATCACCTCATTAAAGCAAATGGGTTGTTCTAACCCCCCAGACTGTTGGGATGCATTTATTTTGCTCTTTGCTGCCAAGAAAAGAGAGTACGTAGGGTGGGTGGGAGTTTGGGAGAGAGAGCAAGGGAGGTTTGGGATGAATGAGTGACTATGAATTTGAAGAAAATGGGGGGGGCACTTCTTTGTTTTTCTCCACAAATCATTAAGAAAAGACAGAAGTGTGAGTGTGCCCTGGATTCCACTAGTGTTCCAGGTTAAAATGCAGGAAAACTAGAGTGATTCACTATATATGATAGATCTTTAGTACTAACTAATGAGTACTGATGTGTTTTTACAAAAAAGCTATAGATACCAATGATGGACAGAGTTTTTAATATTGTCGTTTGTTGTGTTCATTCAGGTAAATACAAGACCAGGACTGAAGGTTGGCAAGCGGTGATGGATTAGTCAATGTCCTAAGAATTTTTTTTTTACTAATTTACCTGATCATGCAACCTTCTGCAGGAGAGGAGATGATGCAGAGAGGTGGAGGAGAGACACACAAGAAACAGCAGCCAGTACCACAAAACATTAAAAAAGAGAAGAAAAGCAACATGTAAAAATGCTATGTAGGCATCAAAATGTAAGCATCATCCTAATCAGAGACGTAACCCTGCCAGTTTGTCACCTTTTGACTTTTCATCCACAAGTCTTTGTCTTTTTTATGTCCCCACTTTGTGTCCAGCGGCCTCGGCTGACTCGGAGACACACCAGTCAGGATACCTGATCAGTGTTTTTATTTAACCAGGGCTATTACTGGGGTTTTCTCTCCATGTTTGGGCTGGCTGGTCCTGTCTGGCAGGATTGCCGAAATAATTTCTTTCTCTGGAGGTAATGGGCCTGGAAACAGATGAAGTAAATGAGCTAATGGCACCTAAAGACTGCAGGACTGAGGATGGGTGAAGCACTTGAGTCCTCTCACATAGACTGTGCTTCTTGTTCTTTGGCAGAAAAATGTGGCTTCATAGTGGATATTAGATCATTTCACTGACCTCTTCTTTACAGCCACAATCAGCTGTAGACCTATGACCAGTGACTTGTGGTCACTCAGGTAAGCAAAGCTGGGTTTCAGGGCTTGAAGAATAACATTTTCATGCAGTGCAAGTTTCCTCTTTTGCAGTGGCTGATCTGAAATGTGGCAGATGTTTCTGTCATGTGTTCATGTAGACTCATTTGGCTTTGTTATCTTTAAAAACTAGTAAATGGGAGTCTTTTATTTTTATTTCTACATGAGTGTATAATCTGGCCATTTTTGTCTGTTTCAGAGACAAAGAAGGAGAGAGTCGGTACCTGACCCCCCATAATTGGTCTTAAATTGTCGTTTTATTGCTCCGTTTTCAGACTGGGTATGCTTTGCGTTTAGCTTTGATGGAACTTCATAGTTATGCAGTGAAATAGTGTTGGGGTAATAATAATAAAGGTTAATAATGGAGGGAAAATTGAGAATGAAAGCAAAGCGAAAAGTACGTGTGTGTTATGGTCAATGCAGGTGTAAAGCGAAGACAGAATAATCATAGAACACACATTTAAAATAAACTATGACTGACCATTTATTTTCAATCCTACATTACATATATTTTACTCATGTTCATAAATCAGACATTAATACCCCAAATTCTCTGCATCTGCAGTGCAGTGCTCATATATGCAGACTACCTTTTGCTCATCTGCAACCTCGACTATCAGCTTTTTGCTTTAGATCTCTTTGCAAGGAAAGTAAAATTATTCCCTCAGTCAGATGGATCCATCCATCCATCTGGGTTAGTGGTATGGAGAAGATGAAACTTTCCTAAGCCAGCTAAACGACGTAGTCTCTCCAGTATATCCTGGGTCTACCCCTGGGCCTCCTTCTGGTCAGACGTGCTTGGAACACCTCAGCTGGCTCCTTTTGAAGTGGAAGAGTAGTGTCTGTACTCTGAGCCCCTCCCAAGTACCAGAACTTGTCACTCTGTCTGTAAGAAAGAAAACTTTGGAGGAAGCTAATTACTGCCACTCATAACCGGAGCTCATGGCCAAAGGTAAGGGTAAAAACGTTGATCAGCCAGGCAAATGACAGCTTTGGTTTTAAACTCAATGATGAGCATCCTCATCACTGCTGGTTCTGCACCGATCCATCTGACAATCTCCTGCTCCAGTCTCACCTCACTTGTGATCAAGGCCCTGAGATAAATAAACTCCTCCACTTGTCTTTGACCCAGAGTGGGCACCACCCTTTTCCAGCTTACAACTATGGCCTCAGAGTATGAGGTGCAAATTTTACTTCCTGTCCCCTAACACTCCACCACCACCATCCCAGTGCAAGCTGGAGGCCACCACCTGATCAAGTCAATAGACCCACATCCTCCACAAAAAGCAGCGATAGAATCCTGAGACTACCAAAGTGGACGGCTTCCTATACCTGGCTACACCTCCAAATTCAATCCATAAATTTTTTTTAACAGAATTAAGGCGACCCACTGTGAATGGATCTGACTTACTGCTGGCAATACAGACCAAGTTCTCACTGTGGATGTACAGGCCTCAAGCGGCTTGTAAGAACAGGGCAGATACCCTATATTTCCAAAGCACAGTGCTGTTAACTGCCTGCGACTAACTATAAAATTAAAAGCAGCACAAGTTCCTAAAAGTCTCTAAAATAGATGTAGTCAGAGGTATCAGTGTTTTAGACACACATTTTTTTCACAATGAGGGAAATGAGAGCTAATTATTAATTCTGAGTACAACTTTCCGCTACAGTCAACACAGTCTTCGGGGTGACATAAGCTCACATCTGCATATGTAAACACAGGGAGAAACATTAGTTCAACAAGTTCAGTAACACTCAGAGTTACTCCTCGGGGTCTGCATGTTGTCCCAGTGGTTTTTTAGGCTCCTGGCCAAAATCTAAAGCCAAGTCTAGTTTCATTGAGCGTAAAACTGTTAATTCGATCTCATTAGTCCTGTGGTGGATGGGGCAGCACCTAATATCCAGTATGGCTGTACTGACACTGAGCCACGATTTGTAAGAGAAGGACAGAGGAGCACATTTGAAAATTACAGTTGGCTCTCACATCCGTAAAGTTAAACAAGTCTTGCACAGAAACAGAGCAATGAACAAAGGAAAACCACGACACCCATAACAGTATTTCATGTTACAGCACAATGTTGGAAACACTAACAAACCAAAATATAACTGCTTTCAGAACGTGTTTCCAAATTTAAGACCTTCTCTTGCTGTTGCAGAGCTCTCCACAGAGTCTCTTATCATAAACGATTAAAAAGGCACGGCTGTATTTCATCCATAAACATGCACAGACGGTAATGGATAAAAAGTTTTATGCTCTTAGATCAGATCTTTACTTTAGAAGCCAATTGCTCTAATAGATTTTGTAATAGTCTGCCTTTAGTTGTGTGATGCACGTGTGGGATAAGGAAACAGTAATGGGCTTGTAAGAGTATGGTAAATGGACCGGTACTGACATAATGCTTTTATACTCTATTTGAGCACTCAAAGTGCTTTCTTACTACAAGCCCATTCATACACACATATCCATCCATCCATCCATCCATCTATCCATCCATCCATCCATCCAACCATCCATCCATCCATCCATCCATCTATCCATCCATCCATCCATCCATCCATCCATCCATCCATTCATCCATCCATCCATCCATCCATGCATATCCTGTGACCTGGATACAGGCCTTCTCTTTTATTAAACTTTAATCGACATCACTGAGCAGAATGAAGCATGTGTCATGCTACAAGTGGTGCATGAAAGGATGTTAACTTTGTCCTGTTTTATTCTGGAATATTAATTTTAGTCTCTTTTCATCTTTGTCATTTTCACTTATTGTCTTTGTTTGTGGTCCCTCCATCCATCACGTTTAACTGCTTGTCCAGTTGAAAGTCACCATCCATGCTGTCTTTAACCCCCACAGCCAATTTAGTATAGCAGTTAACCGTCAGCAATGTCTTTGGAGCTTTTGAGGAGGCGTAAACATTAAAGTGCCACACAGGCAGATTTGAAGCCTGGGCCTTCTTGATGTGAGGTGACAATGCTAAATGCTGCACCGCCGTGGCGCCCTGCTTGTGTTACCCCCTTGGTAATTGTCTGTCATGCCCTAATGAGTATCAGCGGTATTTGTAACACATGTTTCCAATTAGTCAATCAGTATATACGCGTGCTGTCTTGCACTCCCCAGTTACCAGATTGTCTTGACCTTGTCTTCATTTTTTTCAAACTTTACGGCTTTCCTCATGTTCTTATTATTTTTCTTGTGTTTCTAGTGATTCCCTGTGCATGACCCTTTGCTTTTTTGCCTCCCGATTGTCTGGATTGTTTGACTTTGCCGACTACCTTAAAGTGAACAACCACCACTTGATTTTTTTGTTGAAAATTCATCCTGCACTTGGTTCCTCTGCGTCTGGACGTTGCATCAATTAACACCCCCCAAGTTACCACAAACTTTGGGATGTAACTTGGTTGTGAATCATGTGCATTATTTTTTTGCATCTCAAGGCACATATCATCTAATTGCATTACACTTAAGAGAATGCTGACATCCCCTCAACAGTTATCTCCAAAACTGGATAAAAAGCACTAAATAAAATTAATTTTAGGGAGAACTATCCTTTTAACAGTCCTAGGAAAAACATTCAATTGATTATCAGAGTTAGGAGCATTATCTATCAAGTTCTATTGTAGTGTAGTTACAGTGGAAACATGTAGACATGACATCATGTTGTCTGTATTTGGCCAGTCATCCCTCAGGAATAAGTAGAAATTACCACTCTCCAAAATTGGCTAAAGAAATACTCGTTCTGCTGCCA